TGGCTAACCCGAGCTAGTGCACTGACTGCCAAGTCAATCCAACGCTTAATGCACCACTTTGAGCGGGAGTTGCAGCCTCGCCATGACGAGGATCCGGCCGACATGGACAAGCGTTATAAAAGCGTTTTGGACTCAACCCGGATCCGGCAACGGAAGCTTTACAGATTTTCCCGATTCTTGCGCCAGCTGTTCGAAAATGCAACCGAATACAATTTGCCGGCTGACATTGCGTACGACTTTTTGGAGTCGCTGCTTGTGTCGGATCATTTCATGATCAAATCAAACGTCTCTGTGGGTCAAAAAGGTGTCTATCTCTTTGCGCACCCCGCATTGTGGGATCGCCCTGCAGATATCCAAGCTATCCTAGGCACGTCGTTTCGTGAGGATGACACCAGCAAGGATACACCGCATGCACCGTATATCCTCGTGGTTCGTCCGGAAAAACCTCTTGCTTGGGCTGGCAAGGAAATGCAGCTGGGCATCATGGAACAGCCCACGGACTTGCGATTGGGCAAATTGCGACTTGTGGTCGAAGGGACCCAGCAGCGACTGTCTAATGCCAGACATGAGCTGACACATCTCACTGGTATTCAGCTCGATATGGCCATCGAGCAGCGTGCTAATCTTGGTCGGGTCAATGTGGAGCTTAACAAGATCAAGAAGATCTCATTTAAGCTGTCAATGACCATCATGGATAGTGTTGCCCGTATACGGGAGCAACTAAAGGAGAAAGACGTGGAAAATCACGATCTAGTCCAAGCATGCTATGCGTTTGCTACCGAGTTCGGCAAGCGTTCTTCGAACGTTGATCCCAATAGACGCGCAATGAACAGCAATAGACTCGTCGAGTTGTCCCTCGATTGGGTTTCGTTCATCTGTGATGATTGCGATGCTGCTGACAGAAAGACCTTCAAGTGGGCCGTCGCTGCTTTGGAATTCGCAATGGCTATTACCTCCAGCAGACACCTCCTGTCTATGGATGACGCTCAGTATAGTCGTCTGAGGCAGAAGGTTGCCGGATGCATGTCCCTTCTTATATCTCACTTTGATATTATGGGTGCTCGATCGTCTCGTGCAGCTCAGGCAGAGAAGCAACGCTTGGAAGAGCGCGGCGGTTCGAGACGAATGGGCGCAGGGCGGGTCCTTACAGATGAAGAGGCAGCCAAGCTTGTTCGGGAGCAGCGCGTGGCTCATCTTACCGAAATCGAGGAAAGACGCGTTGACGAAGATGCTAAACGCCAAGCACTGGGAAGGGTTCTAGAGGGCTCAAACGAAGCAGACAGGTCTCTTACGGTGCTTTCATCCTCGGCTACAAACGTTACTTTGCGATGGCAACAGGGCCAATTCATTGGTGGAGGAACATTTGGGTCCGTCTACGCTGGAATTAACCTTGACAGTAACTACCTCATGGCTGTCAAGGAGATTCGTTTGCAAGACCCCCAACTTATCCCTAAAATCGCCCAGCAAATCCGCGATGAGATGGGTGTATTGGAAGTCTTGGATCATCCTAACATCGTCTCCTACCACGGTATCGAAGTCCACCGCGATAAGGTCTACATCTTCATGGAATACTGTTCTGGTGGGTCCCTTGCCAGCTTGCTTGAGCACGGACGTGTCGAGGACGAAACCGTCATTATGGTCTATGCTCTTCAGTTGCTGGAGGGATTGGCGTACCTGCACCAGGCTGGCATTATCCATCGCGATATCAAGCCTGAAAATATCCTGCTTGACCATAATGGTATCATCAAATACGTTGATTTCGGTGCTGCGAAGATCATCGCTCGTCAGGGCAGAACCGTTGTCCCTATGGATGCCTTCGCTGGCGCCGGTCACAAGGACGCTATAGTGCCCAAGGACGCCCAGCTGGCCCACAACAATTGGGGCAAGAACCAGAAAACGATGACCGGCACTCCGATGTACATGTCGCCCGAGGTAATCCGCGGCGATACCACTAAGCTTATCCACCGCCAAGGAGCCGTCGACATCTGGTCATTAGGATGTGTGATCTTGGAAATGGCCACGGGTCGTCGCCCTTGGTCCACTCTGGATAACGAATGGGCCATCATGTACAACATTGCCCAGGGCAACCAGCCGCAATTGCCATCCCGAGACCAGCTCAGCGACCTAGGTATCGACTTCCTCCGACGGTGCTTCGAATGTGACCCCAATAAACGGTCCACTGCAGCGGAACTCCTCCAGCACGAATGGATCGTCTCCATCCGTCAGCAAGTCGTCCTCGAGCCAGCCACGCCTGGCAGCGACAACAGCGGTGGTAGTTCGCACTCTGGCAGTCGCCAGAACTCGGCGTATCTGTGATCAATTTGATCTCCCTTCCAACGTATTGATCTACTTGATCTATATCTACGTCCTTCGTCTAGCCTTTCAAACAACCAACCAACCAACCCAACACGATGTCCCCATATTGTCTTCTCATCCCACCTGTTCTCACCAAACCTTCAAATCTTTGTTCGCAATTCATCTATCTCAGCCCTGTTACATTCATACACGCATAAAAATTTGCATTTGATACCCCGCCGCCAAACTTTACATTCATTCATTCATTCCATCCACCGTCATCATGTCATGTCATAACTATTGTTTTGTCATGTTTAAAATTTCTTTATTTCTGTTCCGCTTTTGTACTCCCTCTACCTTGGGAGGTTTCCATCAATATAGCCATGTGTTATACGATACGTGCTGTGTGCTGCTGCTGTGTTTTCGGGATGGGCTTAGTTTTTACATTTTTCAGTTACCAATTATGATAGTAGTTAGTGCTCGGGAAAACGAAAGAGTATTTATTTTATCTAGTATTTATGAGGTGGTAGTTAGTTTATAACCTATCCAGTGCTTTTAGTTATGAACATTGTCCATGTTACATGGAAAGAAGTTCTTCTCGTGGATACAGAGTATCATGTTGACACACTATTTTTATTTCGATTTTCTACTAAGTACCTACTGGTTGAACCTCTTCTACTACGTAGCCATATTTAAACAGCATGGTGTTTGTGCTCGGTACTGCTCGTGATACCTAGAACTAACTGCAAACACAGGCGTAGTGGCCAAGGACTTAGCGCGATCTTGGAACGTAGTGGTGAAGTAGTAAATCATTGAATAGATGGATAGATAGTAATATATATTCCTCACTCAGACAGGCAAGAAAAGAGAAAAGTTGTCCCTTGGACAAATAAGGAGACCAACGCTACCCTATCAGATATAAAGAAGAACCGGTCATAATTGAGAAGAAGAAGCAACAACTGATTCACAAGGGAACAAAAAGCAGACATCAAGGAGTGAAGTAGTCCCGATACCGCTGCCTAGTTTATCAACTAGTAGTCTTCCCTGTCCAGGGAGAAGACGTTACATTGTGTTGTGTGCTGCGCTGCGTCATATTGAAAGAGATGAAGAAGTGCGAGGATATAATTGGCCAATAGTGTTCCGTTCCATACCATATCGTATCAACCAAGCCTGCGCCGATAGAAGAGAGAAGAAGACAAGTCGGAAGAAAATTCGTCAAGAGACATCAGTCAAAACAGAGCGGGGTAATAGTAACTCCGACAGTATAACCGTAACAGATCAGCCATCGCGGCTGGGAGGCTCAGAAGTGAACGTAACCTTGTAATAGCCATTAATTGTAGAAGCATGCGAAACCGTAGGAGGTGATGATAAGTGAATTTCTTTTGCAGTGGTCGAACCGACCACTGGACAAGCCCGCAAGAAGATCAACGGAACTCCATGGCTGGCGCACAACCATAGTCTTTGACATGTCTGAGCTCAAGTTGTTGATACCTAGCAGTAACAGTCAGTCTTGTTTGCCACAAATACCACTTGGATGAGACAGAACATACTTTTCGCTCTTGGCGTGAAAGTAAATCCCAGCAACCGTTCCCTCCACCTGATTAAAGCAGATGTAATAGAAGCCTTCGAAGCTAGCTCCGGAGATCGACCTCACGCGATGATCGGGAACGAGGAAGTACTCCTTCCAACGCATGAAAAGGTGCTCACGCTGGGCAAAATTTCGAAATGTGAAATCCGGTTTCTTCGCCTGTTTCGCCTGCGATCGCCAAGCGGGAAACCTTCCCCAATGTTGCATGTCAGTCTTTTCGGTCGCGCCCCATGCTTCATTTCTAGTTTTGAATGTGTGCTTGGTTCCAATGATCTCGCCTTCAAAGAACGTTGTTAAAGTAGGGTGATCCTCGGTGAGACCTGATGCCAAAAAAGGTTAGGATTGGATACGGTGGGCTGGTGTAAGCGCTCACGGACCTTGTATGCGGAGGTATCCACAAAGATAAGATTCAAGCATATCAACGTGCTTAATCTCTACATCAACGCTGTAGACATGGCTGTCTGACTGCTGTGTACCAGTAAATCTACTTCCCGGTCGCAGAAAAGACGACGAATAATTGGGTAAAAGCTGTTACAGTCAGCAAGGGAGACCTAGAGAACGAAGGGATAAAGTAGGCCATCATACGCGGATGTTAGAAAATTCATAGCTTAGCAGAGAAGTAGCTGATGAAGGGGTGACTGGAGATACCGGGCCGGAGGAGCAGGATGACTCCGCAGCAGGGCTCAGTCTCCCCGCAGCAGGTTCGTCTTCCGATCTCCCCACGCCCTTCGTGGGCGCTCTGGCTACTGGCTCGCCCGTTACGGGGTCCGCATCGGTAGAAGTAAAGGGAGCTCCATCTGATGGTGTTAAGGCAGTATGGTTTGATGGACCGGTTGGCGAGAAGGTGTTGTCGGGAGCATCATCGCTGGTGTTTCTCCTCTCCCACGCCGACACCCAGGGGTACGGCCCTTCTTCTCTTGTATGTAGACTCTCTCTATCAACCTCCGGCGGACAGGTAGAGCGAGCGGAGATTTCTTCTGCGATTGAAGCATTCAAGGGCGGGGTGTTATCACTCGGAGTCGGCATTGGAGGCTAATTAAGGAAGGAATGACATCGGAATCGATAAGATTGCAAATTCCCACCGATAGGGCGAGAAGTGAGACAAGATCAGGCGGGAACAGAACAAGCCTGATACAAGCACAATAAGGGCAGCTCAAGGATTAGGGGTGATTTATTGGACCGGAGGGGAAGGGGGGTGGGCGAACTAAGATGGGAACGGGAGAGGACGACAGCGGGATCGGGGTGGCAAATAGAGAGTTAGGGCGCAGACAGCGGAAAGAAGCAAAGGTTAGGGAGAGAAGTAAGGAAAGCAGAGGAGAAAGAGGAGAAGTCGGGGATGAAGGAGCAGGCAAAGGAAAGAATAGAGAGGATGGACGAAGAGAGGATCGATTAGTTTGGTGGTCAGTCTGGGGCGAGGCACTGCCCAAAGAGGAATCGACCGACTGATCATGCGAGCGCGGGGGAGGCAAATGGGGCAAACGGCGCCTCGGGCGGTTATTCGAGCATTTCTGGCATTTTGCAGCCTTTGCACGTCTGGCACGGCCTCCCTTGCAGCTTTTTCTTTTCTGACGCTCGTCCCGACGGACGTGGCCCGCTACAATAATATTCCCCATTATGCAATGGCTCTCTGCCTCGCTGTTTTGATTTCCGTTTTCGGCGCTTTTCTTACACATCAAACACTTCACACACACATACACTCATCCACATCCTCATCCACATCCACACACGTCGTTGGGTATTCCAATTCTTCCGCTACGTTGGCCTCAGTGGCAAGCTCCCATTGCGTCATCGCCTTCGGTGAGTCGCTTTGCCATCGGGCCTCATTGCAAGCAACCCAAAACTGCCAGACAAATTTTTGGGGAAATATGGAAAAGGAAAGGTAAAATGAAGAAAAAGTAGCACTAGTAGTATACCCGCCACGGCTGCAATCAAATAGAAAACGCCTATTATTCATCCCAGAAAGTGAACCATTTCATTTCATGTTCCCACAACCATCATATTTAGATAGGTTTGATCTATTAACCAAATTAGACTCAATACTCTCAAAGGAAATAGAAACAGCGGAAGCCGTATTTACCTTGAAATGGAGCGAAATAAGCGAGAAGATGAGGGCCTTCAGGTCCTGGACGAGATAGTAGAACACTCGCAGGCCTTCCGGGTCCGCAGATTCAGTCACATCCACCAATGAGCCGATTTTCGCAGTCTACATCAGATGTCAGGTTTCCATCTGTTATCAGCTATGTCAATAACGCATTAGACATACCTCAAAGGAGATATGCTCATTCCCAAGCCGAATCTCAAGTTCCTGACGTCCATCCTTGTTCTTCTGGGGCCATTTGGAGTCATCCTCCCTGCGTCGCATCAGCATCTTTGTACCCCTCCAGTCGCCATTGAACTCCACTGCTTGACTCACTTCATGATCTCACTTTCCTTGATAATGCGCTTCACCTCCTGAATCATCGACGCGCTCACGCACACTGTAGTGATCGCGCATTAGCGACCGATGTAGAACCGGACGGTCTCTTTCCTAGCACTCACTTTCTTTCCGAATCAGAGAATCATTGCGGTAGTTGGAGTTGTTCGCATATCGCACGGCAGCACTGCGGCCATCGCCAAGGGTACGGAAGTCGAACTCTTTAGGGGCTGTTAATATGGAAGCTCGAAATGTAGACCATCGCGGGGAACCTACCTAGAAACTCATGTCCGAACCGCCCAGAGTGACCTGAGCTGCGGGACTGTCAGCAGCTGAGGAAACCTGGGCCACACACAGATCATCCTTACTAGTAACGGAGGTAGAATGGTTCGTTTTGGGTTGACATCTTTCGTAAACCTCAACCGACAACGTCTGGGATTTGACACGACAAAGGGAAGCTGGATATGAACGCTTCGTAGCGCGTGCCTGGATGGAATTGCCTGGTTTGCAGGGTTGGTCCAGGCGGGGCTTAGTCATCCACACACTCCGGACAGCTTGCTCCGCCGCGCAAATGGCCAGGTTGATACTCAATGTCCCCGGATTGTCAACATTCGCTCTGATGAATGCTAGGCAGGTGAGGGGAGACAAATTTACATTAAACTAATTTCCTCTACCATTATCGAATTTCTTTGGGGAGAGTTGTTCCAGTCCGTCTTCCCATCCTTCCCCCCTGACCGGCCAAAACAACCACCTGTACTGATGACCGCTTCCAGCTCTCCTCCCTCCTGAACCCTTCCCTGTACCGGCCATTCGTTCGCACCGCTCGATCACCATGGCGTCCTTCCTCGAAAATGCATACAGCTTGGTCCACCTGGACAACACTGCTGATCAGCCCTCTCTGCAGGAGCTGAAGCTGCAGTTGGAGAAGGGTACCGATGAGACCAAGATGGAGACAATGAGGCGGATCATCACAATCATGCTCAATGGCGACCCTATGCCCCAACTGCTCATGCACATCATTCGCTTTGTCATGCCGTCTAAAAGCAAGCCCCTCAAGAAACTCCTATACTTCTACTATGAGATCTGTCCGAAACTCGACGCGAATGGCAAGCTGAAGCAAGAGATGATCCTGGTCTGGTAAGGCACCTGGCGCATCCCGACACTGTAGGCCATGGCTTGCTAACAAACGATCTTTTTGCGCAGTAACGGTATCCGTAATGATCTTCAGCACCCCAACGAATACGTCCGAGGAAACACCCTGCGATTCTTGTGCAAGCTCCGAGAACCGGAACTCATTGAACCCCTCCTCTCGTCCGCACGCTCCTGCTTGGATCACCGCCACGCCTATGTCCGCAAGAACGCCGTGTGGGCTGTCGCTTCTATCTTCCAGCACTCGGAGTCGCTGATCCCAGATGCTCCGGAACTTATCCAGGCATTCCTCGATACGGAGACCGACGGCACCTGCAAGCGCAATGCATTCGCAGCCCTCATGTCCATCAGCCACCAAAAGGCCCTGGAGTACCTGGCCTCTACCTTCGACAGCATCCCGAACACGGACGAATTACTCCAATTGGCTGAGCTTGAGTTCATCAGAAAGGATGCTGTGCAAAACACTCAGAACAAGGTGGGCTTCCGGAGATCAACTCCGTTGCAGTCGGTTGCTAATCACCAGTAGGCACGGTATCTGCGGCTGATTTTCGACCTTCTCGATGCGTCAACGAGCACTGTCATCTACGAAGCTGCCACTTCTCTTACAGCACTCACCAGCAACCCCGTCGCCGTGAAGGCCGCAGCAAGCAAGTTGATCGAACTTTGCATCAAAGAAGCTGACAACAATGTCAAGCTTATCGTTCTTGACCGAGTCGACCAGCTACGCATCCGCAACGAGGGTGTTCTTGATGACCTTACTATGGAGATTCTCCGCGTCCTCTCTTCCCCGGATATCGATGTTCGTCGGAAAGCCCTCAGCATTGCCTTGGAGATGGTTTCGAGCAAGAATGTCGAAGAGATCGTCATGCTGCTCAAGAAGGAACTTGCCAAGACTGTTGATGAACAATATGAAAAGGTAGGCTCGCACGGTCAGCTCGTGATATACAGAAATGCTAACAACCTTGTAGAACAGCGAATACCGTCAATTGCTGATCCAGTCGATACATAACTGCGCCATCAAGTTCTCGGAGATCGCGGCTAGCGTTGTCGATCTTCTGATGGACTTCATCGCCGATTTCAACAACAACTCCGCCGTTGATGTGATCTCGTTTGTCAAGGAGGTCGTGGAGAAGTTCCCTGCGCTCAGAACTTCTATTGTTGATCGCCTGGTCTCTACATTGAGTGAAGTCCGTGCCGGCAAAGTCTACCGGGGTGTCCTGTGGGTTGTCGGAGAATACTCTCTGGAGGAGAGAGATATCCGCGAGGCCTGGAAGCGGATCAGGGCCAGTCTCGGCGAAATCCCCATCCTTGCCTCGGAACAGCGACTTCTTGATGAAGTACCTGAGGATGCGGCGCTCAAGGAGCAGGTCAACGGCCACTCCAAGCCGTCCGCCCCGACCGGATCACGGAAGGTGCTGGCCGATGGCACCTATGCCACCGAGAGTGCTCTGACCAGCCAGTCTGCTGCGGCTGCTCGGCTTGAGGCTGTCAAGGCCGCTCAGAAGCCCCCTCTTCGTCAACTGATCTTGGATGGCGACTACTACCTTGCTACTGTGCTTTCGTCCACCCTTACTAAGTTGGTGATGCGCCATTCGGAGGTCTCCGAAGATGTTGCTCGGACCAACGCCCTGCGTGCAGAGGCTATGCTCATCATGATCTCCATCATCCGTGTTGGCCAGTCGCACTTCGTCAAGGCGCCCATTGATGAAGACTCCGTGGATCGCGTCATGTGCTGTGTGCGCTCGCTTGCAGAATTCTCTCAGAAGAAGGAATTGGAGACTACCTTCCTGGAAGACACCCGGAAAGCCTTCCGCGCCATGGTTCAGGTCGAAGACAAGAAGAGGGCCGCTAAGGAGGCCGTTGAGAAGGCTAAGACTGCCGTCCAGGTCGACGATGCCATCCCCATCCGGCAATTCACCAAGAAGGCAGCTCTTGAAGGTGCTGAGGAGATTGAGCTGGATCTGGCCAAGGCCACTGGCGGGGACTCAACTGTGGAGACGGTGTCCTCGAAGCTGAGCCGCGTTGTGCAACTTACTGGTTTCTCAGACCCCGTATACGCCGAGGCTTATGTCACGGTTCACCAGTTCGATATTGTTCTGGATGTGCTTCTGGTCAACCAGACCCTTGAGACCCTGCAGAACCTGAGCGTTGAGTTTGCGACTCTCGGGGACCTCAAGGTGGTGGAGCGGCCCACGACACACAACCTCGGACCTCGCGATTTCTTGAATGTGCAGGCTACAGTCAAGGTGTCGTCGACGGACACGGGTGTGATTTTCGGTAACATTGTGTACGACGGGGCGAGCTCGACGGAGTCGCATGTTGTTATCCTGAGTGACATCCATGCCGACATCATGGACTACATCCAGCCGGCACACTGCACTGAGACGCAGTTCCGGACGATGTGGACCGAGTTTGAGTGGGAGAACAAGGTTAACATCAACTCCAAGGCGAAGAACCTCCGCGAGTTCCTCAAGCAGCTGATGGAGAGCACCAACATGGCATGCTTGACACCTGAGGCATCTCTCAAGGGCGACTGTCGGTTCCTGAGTGCCAATCTATATGCCCGGAGCGTATTTGGTAAGTACTAGATCTATATGCTGCGACTTTCAGCCCACCTCCGTCTTTTGGATAGCTGCTAACTTGATTCTTCACAGGTGAGGATGCCCTTGCGAACTTGAGCATCGAGAAGGAAGGAGAGGACGGGCCGATTACCGGCTTTGTTCGGATAAGAAGCCGTTCTCAGGGTCTGGCCTTGAGCCTGGGGTCTTTGAAGGGCCTTAAGGCGTCTACAGCATGAATAGAGAAACCCCCTTTGAGCCGTATTTGAATAGCCACTACCCTTGTTACCTACTACATGACTCTACTGTTCGATTTTCGACTGCGTTTTTTTTTTTTTTTTTCTTTTATTTTAACTCTTCTGTGTTCTTCTTAATGGACGAATTTGTTGACTATATGCACCTTTTACTCTGTTTATTCTGGATGAGAAAAGACTTTTTTTATCTCTCAATGGAAAGCCCCATTTGAATGACTCTATTTTGAATATTTTTATTGTATGTATGTGTGTATGTATGTACCACCATGGCCAGCTATGTTTACAGTAGGAGGAAGGATGTTTCTTGGAAGCCGTCATAGACTTGCCCAAGCTCACCTGTACCACGTTGATTAATTAAGCACGATGCATCCCATCCCCACACACCCCGCAGGTGATGCCTCGGAACTGTTGCTGCAATTGTCCGACTCCGGATGTCACGGAGGCCATTATTCCGAGCAAGATCGGCTTTATCTGGACGAATGTATAAGAGTGGCAAGAGTCCTTCGAGGATCAAATCAGACCCCAAAATAATGTGAATATGGGTGCGGAAGGGACTGGGCGCGTGCCTTAGATAAGGATGGATGCTTGCGGCGATCTCCGCAAGGCATACAGTGGCAGGTTCTCTAAGAATGACCGGAAACCCACCAGATCCAGGCATGCATCATGTATGGGTTGGACTCAAAAAGAAAGGTGTTCCTGTCATGGCATGATGAGGTGCAAGTCATTGTCCGGAGAGCCTATCAGTTTTACAGGGCAGACAAGTGGAGCGGAAAAGAAGTGGAGCCCGCCATAAAAGTTGGACTGCCGATATTGATTATCGAATAATGTGAATGGATGATTCAGTGGTTCTCCGAGTCTCCGGTCTTTCTCCGCTCCATCCTGAGACTTGCCCGTTTCATTCCCCCAACACCTTCCTTCTCCTCGTCTCAAACTCTTTCGTTTCCTTCGTCTTTCTCTTATTATTATTCTTATGGTTATTCTTACTGACCACGTTCACTTCTACGCATCTATCTTTCCTCATCTTTAAATACAGTCGGCTCTTCTCATCCACGCTGTGCCCTCCACCGGGCACTATGACCACCTCTAACGGGCCTCCTCGCCCGTCGTTTAACAACGCGGATCACCCGGAAACTCGGGATCAGCTGCTTGAACATGATGCGACTCTGATAGTCTCCAACTCGGTCTCTCTGACCCTTGGAGGCGACTCTCTTTTGATTGTCGGTAAGTCTCAGTGCGCAATTGCTCTTCTCGAGTCCCTCACCAAATTTCCGTGTTAACGAAATACCGGCATTCGCGCAGATGAACGTTCCATGCGCAAAGCCGAGCGTGGGTGTTGCGGCATCGCCAGCAAAACAGCCAAGCCCACTCACTCCATTGCACTTTACAATGTCTTGGACGCCGACCTGTCGCCCGAGGGCCTTACTATCACTTATGCGGAGCCGGCCTCCAAAGAGGATGTCTCCGTGTCCGCCCTGCGATATCCGTTCGCACCGGAAGAAAAGGCTGCGGTAGAATCCTGGACGAACAAACTCTTGTCCGTTGCGTATGGCACCGCCAAACGATACAAGAGACTCAAGGTTCTAGTCAACCCATTCGGTGGTCAAGGCCACGCAGTCAAATTGTACACCTCGTATGCAGCTCCCGTCTTTGCTGCAGCCCGCTGCCAAGTGGACGTGCAGGAAACAACGCATGGAGGCCACGCCGTCGAAATTGTGGAGCAACTGGACATCAACGCATATGACGCCATCATTTGCTGCTCCGGAGATGGTTTGCCGTACGAGGTTTTTAACGGTCTTGCGAAGAAGCCTAATGCCGGTGAAGCTTTAGCTAAAGTTGCCGTTGCAATGGTGCCTTGTGGGTCCGGAAACGCAATGGCCTGGAATCTTTGCGGAACGGGCAGTGTCTCAGTGGCGGCTTTAGCCATCGTAAAGGGTATCCGGACGCCTATGGATTTGGTCTCAATCACGCAGGGGAAGACTCGCACGCTGTCCTTCCTGTCACAATCCTTCGGTATCATCGCGGAATCCGACCTCGGCACGGATGATATCCGATGGATGGGCGCTCACCGTTTCACCTACGGGTTTCTCAAGCGCATCATGCGCCGCGCAGTGTATCCGTGCGATCTGGCAATTAAAACCGTGATGGATGATAAACAAGCGATCAAAGATCATTACAGTGCTTACGCGCAGAGCCAGCCTCCTAGTCGTCCGGATGAGGATACTGCAGAACAGCCAACCGGGCTTCCCGAGCTCGCGTACGGCACCGTGCTAGACGAGCTGCCCAAGGACTGGGAAGTTATTCCAGCTGAGAATCTCGGTAACTTCTATGCGGGCAAAATGGCCATCGTGTCCAAGGATACGAACTTCTTTCCTGCCTCTTTGCCCAACGATGGTCTGATGGATATCGTCACCATCGATGGTACTCTCAGTCGTCTGACCACGCTCAAAATGATGACCGCCATCCCCGAAGGCGAATTCTTCGATATGCCCGACGTCAAAGTCCGCAAGGCTCTTGCGTATCGGCTTGTGCCCCACGAAAAGAAAGGCTACATCAGCATTGACGGAGAAAGCATACCTTTTGAAGCTTTCCAAGTAGAAATCCACAAGGGCTTGGGCACTGTGCTGTCGAGGTCGGGACACCTTTACGAAGCTGAAGGTCCCAAACCTTAGACATTGGGGATGATACAAGCGAAAAAAAAGTAGCGGGTGGTACTTTGGATGTCATCGTTTCTTTTCTCTTCATTCTGGTCTTCGCACTCTAATGATACCCTGGCGCAAGACTTTTTTGTTTTGGCTTGCTTTACTCTCGGTTCAATTAGGTCATGCTTTCTGTATACTAGACAGCAGTGCAACCAAGATGGTTGCATAGCCCATAGAGTCATATAAATATACATTGTTTCATTCACATGAATATGTAATAGTCCTAACCCGACTCAGACCAGCCCGGGAGGCTAATCAATACAAGCATTGCGCACGCTGCCGTCCAATTCACAATTCTATACACTTTTGATCAAACAGAGAAAAAAAGAGAAGAGCCATTAGGATTTATACACATAGATATGAAACACCTCAATCAAAACCATCCCACTCCTCATCACTACTCTCCTCCACCACCTTCCTCTCCTTAACCCCCCACTCAAACAACCGCTCATCATCCAACGTCTCCGCAGCCCGAGTCCGCACAGGCTTATACCCACTCTCCTTCTTCAACTTCTCAATCGGCCTCAACAAAAGCTCCATGGGCACTCCGCCCTTGATCTTCTTCGTCTGTTGCCCTTCCTCCGCCCCTTCAATCTCCTCAAACTCCAACACCTTCTCCAACTCATCAATCCAGATATCCATCACATGGTACCGCAATCCGTCCGGTCCATGCGGCATCGGCACGTAATCCTCCTTCTCGTTCATGGGCGGTTGATCCGGGTCGAAGTTCAATGGGCACAGGGGTCCTTCTTCGATGATGTTGATGTAGGATTCAAGGGCTGTCCAGTCTTGGGGTTCGGTTGATGTCGTTGACTCTTCGGATTGTTGTTGGGTTTGTTGTTGTTGTTGTTGTTTCTTATTCTTGTTGTTCTTCTTGTTCCGCTTCGAGGATGTAGGCTCTTCTTCTCTTTTGCGCTTGCCGCCGTTTGTGGATGTGGTGGTGGTGGATTGGGGCTTGAGAAGCACCTCGAATGCAACGCCCACGTAGCAACGGATCAGGAATAGGTACTTGTCTAGACGGAGACGGTCGAGCGAGTGGAAGTCCCGGCCGATGGTTATCCAGAACGCGCGGAGGAAGCGGTGCAAGGTGCTCCGGGGGAGGGTTGGGACGAGGCTGTAGCTGAGAGTGCGGGCGAGGGCTTGTTGCGTTAGGGGACGGTCGGAGTGGTAGAAGCCTGTGGTTTGGTGGTGGTTAGTTGGGAGTAGGGGAAGAGGGTGGATTGAGGGCGTGGCGTACAGAAGAATAGACCCTTCCACAGTTTGAGGAGGTCGATGAGGGAGAGGTCGGTTTTGCTGCGGAGGAAGAGTGTGAGGGAGTCGGTGGCTTTGTCGCGGATTTTCTTGTCTGTGGAGTTTTTTACTTCGTTAGATTTGGTTTTTCTTGGAGGATATAATGGGTAAGTGAGAGGGAGGGGTATGTACCGCTCGAGGCGAGATCCCGTACAAAGGGAGTCTTGGTCACGTCGGACATGGTGGTGGTTTCTCGAGTCGGAATTGATTCGAGTATGGTAAGTCGGGAGACTCGGTTTCTAGGTATGTGGTGTTCGCGAAAGCGAGGCGATTGATGTGCCTGCGCTTTTCAGAGTGTGGATTTCCTTGGTGGTCTCTGGACAATGGTGGTTTTGAGAAAGTCCTTGAGATTGATGAAGCTATTCGTAACTTTTTTTTTCTTTTTTGGAGATATTTTCTGTTTGCATTGTTTGATTTGGAGTGTGGCTTGATTGGCTGGTTGTTTTTGGATGCCGGTTATGGTGGGGCTGGTGTGGGGAAGGCGATGGGCTATTGTTGATCGGGTTAGCAAATCATTCACTATCTATCTACATATCATGGTGACTTTGGGATGAGGTATACATGCGTGTAAATGATGGAGGAAGGGATGGTTATAGCGTCTATAAAGAGGATTTAGATTGTAGGATCTAGTATGTAGAGTATATGGCTCTTCCTCAGTTGAAGAGCGTTCCTACCTATCTTAGTATCATATTGATATTCGCTCTTTCCGTTTGTCAGTTCTAAGAGGAAGGCCCATCTTCTCTCTTGTCTTCTTCCCTCCCTTCCCTTCTCTTCTCATCTCCTCTTCCTATTTAACTAAACGCCTCAATTCGACTCTTCAACTCGACACTTCATTGACCTGTTGGTATGTACAGCCTGGTTATCACTGAGCTGAGTGTCTTCGTCTTGTTATCAAGTCATAGTTCTAACATGCTACAGAATCACCGCCACCACCACCGTCAACAACAACAACGACGACGACGACGACGACGACGACGACAATAACAACAACAACCTCACCACTACCACCGTCAGCCGCCATCAACGACAACAACAACAACAACAACAACAACAACAACTACGGTAACAAAAGCACAAGCTTGTTGAGTATCTGCCACTCCTTGTTTCTGTCAGTCACTGATGCTTTACAGGTCATCCATTTATAGCTATTGGCTAGCGAGAAAGTCACTGACGACACGATAGTTACGACCTGGGTGATCACCCATATCTATCCGGACCCGCAGCATCGGAGCGCCTTGTTGCTGCGAAGTGCATCCCACTGTGGTTGCAAAACCACTCAGCAACGAGGCCATTGCTGTGCCAGAGTGGTGCACTGGGCTGGGCTGGGCTCACACTCGTCGCCCTGCCCCCCAGGCGGTCCTTGATAACGCCGACATTGCCAGAGGCGCTGACTACTGGCCCAGGCTCAGGCTTGGGCCACTTATGTGGTCAAGCGCCTCTGTAGATTTTGATAGCTTTAGATAGCTTTTCTCCTTAGCTAGCTTGTATCTTTAGGTAGCTTGTATCCTTAGATAGTCTGTATCCTTTAGATAGTCAGTATCTTTAGGTAGCCTGTATCTTTAGATATTTGTATCCTTAGATAGTCGTATCTTTAGCTAGTTGTATCTTTAGATAGGTCGATAGCTTAGATAGGCCGATGAAACTATCTCAGCATAGTGGAGGCACCAGAACGATGGCCGGGCACCTTTACGCGGTGTTCTGGATAAGTAGGCCGGTTCGAAAGAACCTGCTGAAACTAAGACCCGGCCACTTAGCGTAGTTTGATACATTCGGTGATGGGCTGCGGGCAGGATAATGGTCGGTTGTTTGATTGTGTGGCGTTATCCTTAGTATCTTGAGTCATTCGCATTGTATACCAATCTGATCATTCCTACCCGCCTATTCCGGTAACTTCTAGCCCTTCAGTGGAAATTATTGGTAGATCATCAACCCCAGACCTGCAGTGGTCTAGAATCCTGCATCTTAGGATTTGATGTCCGAAAATTGGGACTTGAGCTTCTCGGGCTATATTATTTTAAAGCTAAAGTTCCTGCGCATAATTTTTCAATACAAATAGTATGCCCGATGCAAACTCAATGTGTGGAGGGAAAAAAGAAAACCACGCATCTTCCGCATCTTCCGCATCCGGATAGTCACATCCCAGCCCCTCCAGGGACAGAACCACAGCTCAACTTCCAATTAGCAGCCCTCCCAGCTCTTCCCTTGCTCTTGTTTGCTCCACTGATTGACTTGAGGGCGTCGAATAGCAGCATCATTGGGATCAATGGCTCACCCGGTCTCCCGTCGTTACACGGAAGGTTACGGGTGACATCATCACTTGCAACGTGCAACAAATGGAAACGTCGAGCGTCCTGAATCTTATTTGCATCCCCCAAACTCTTTGTCAGTGAATGATGTCGGCAAAGCGAAGATCCGTCTTCAATTGAGGGAAATTGGCCATGGGAGGAAGGCACGCGCTACCCAAATTCTAACAGGCTATTTGCTCACCTGAACTTCCTGAAATCATTCACACCCCCGTTTTGTGCTCTTAAGGCCAATTCTTCTTCGCCAGCTTCTGCTTTTTTTTGTCTTTTACGGTGGGCTCTACCCTTGTGTCCTGCTCTAGCCTGCCAACAGCCTCATCTTCAAAGATGGCGCAGCTTGAGGAGCCCGACGAGAGCTCGCAGCCCAGCTCCTCTAAATATGAGGAATTGGCTTCTGGACCGAGCAACTCTCAAAGACCACCGCGATTGACGCGCAATGAAAGCTCCTTCATGGAGAATATGGACCCTGAGCAAAAGGCTGAATTGACCCGCTTGGCTTCCAATTTTCCAAGGCGCCAGAGCACTCTCGATTCGACTGTCGATGGACCGGTTGAACGAAAGGACACCCTTGAAGGGCTGGAAATGGGCGACCCAGTCCTTGATCCCACAAATGACCAATTCGATCACTACAAATGGGTTCGCATGGTGCTGAAGATATTGGACAGGGAGGGAATCCCTCGACCTCCTTCGACTGGTGTCGTCTTCCAGCACCTTAATGTCTCGGGCTCAGGTTCCGCCCTACAATACCAGAACAACGTGTCTTCAATTCTTCTCGCCCCTTTCAGGCCGCAGGAGTACCTGCCTTGTGTGCAGCGCACTCCGGAGAAGCATATCCTGCGCGACTTTGATGGCCTACTTAGAAGCGGTGAGCTTTTGATCGTTCTGGGACGCCCTGGGAGTGGCTGTTCAACTTTCTTGAAGTCTTTATGTGGGGAACTTCATGGCCTGAAGCTCCGCAAAAGCTCTGAAATCCAGTTCAATGGTATCTCCATGGAGAAAATGCACAAAGAGTTCAAGGGCGAGGTGCTATACAATCAGGAGGTGGATAAGCATTTCCCGCATCTCACTGTTGGTCAAACGTTGGAATTTGCCGCCGCCGCGAGAGCGCCCGAGAACCGAGTACAAGGCGTTACTCGACAGCAATATGCTAAATACGTTACCCAGGTCGCTCTGACTATTTTTGGCCTGTCACACACGTATAACACAAAGGGTGCGTCTTTATTGTCGAATGCCAAGCCGTTGAATGTTCATTGTATACCTAATGCTACCTCCAGTTGGCGATGACTATATCAGGGGTGTATCAGGAGGCGAACGAAAGCGAGTTAGGTATGCTTTATCCCGGATCTAATTTCTCGAATTGACCTAACTTGACTGCAGTATTGCTGAGATGGCGCGTGAGTCACCATGCCACTTCAAGAGTATAGCTAGCGGTTCAGTTGACATGCTTCAGTCTCCGGGGCACCTGTTGGGGCTTGGGATAATAGTACAAGGGGCCTCGACTCTGCAAGTGCTCTGGAATTCGTCAAGGCTCTACGGGTTTCAGCAAACTTAGCCGGTACCTGTCATGCAGTCGCGATCTATCAAGCATCCCAAGCAATATACGATGTGTTTGACAAGGCAATCGTTCTATATGAGGGTCGCGAGATATACTTCGGTCCATGCGACGAGGCAAAGGAATATTTCGAGAACATGGGGTGGCTTTGCCCGCCGCGCCAGACAACCGGTGACTTCCTGACATCAGTCACTAACCCCCAAGAGCGTCAAGCACGCGAAGGAATGGAGAACAAGGTTCCTCGGACACCAGATGACTTCGAAACGTACTGGAAGAACAGCCCTCAGTATGCCAGGCTTCAGCAGGAAATCGAACAGCACATGAAGGAGTTTCCATTAGGTGGAAAGCATGAGCAACAGTTTGGTGAAATGAAGCGCCTGAAACAAGCGCGACATGTTTGGTCAAAGAGTCCCTATATAATCTCGATTCCCATGCAGGTAAAGCTTTGTACTATTAGGGCGTATCAAAGGTAATTGCTGCTACATTTCGTTTGTCTGTGAAGGAACTGCTGACCCTCATAGGATCTGGAATGATAAGCCTTCCACCTTGACAAACGTCATTGGAAGAATTGCAATGTCCCTTATCATCGGCTCAATGTATTTTGGGTAAGGCGTTCATTCTCTGCGGCTCGAACTTACGCTAAGACATCCAGAACACCAAATGCCACTGTGGGCTTTCAGAGCAAAGGGGCTGCTCTTTTCTTCGCTGTGCTGTATGTTACCCGAAAATGTGAAAAGTTCTTCTCTCAGAAGGCGACCATCGTACAATCCAAAGGATGAATTGGAGAATATGCTGGGCTGACTGCAATTCAGGATGAACGCTCTCATTAGCATTACAGAGATAAACTCGCTTTACGACCAACGGCCGATTATTGAAAAACAAGCATCATACGCTTTTGTCCATCCTTTTGCTGAAGCCTTTGGTGGAATTGTGTCCGATATACCCGTCAAATTCGTCTCTGCTGTGGTGTTCAACATCATTTTCTACTTCCTAGCTGGCTTGGTAAGTACATACAATCACTCTGGTGGACGTGGGCACAATACTGACTATGATGATAGCGTTACGAACCATCCCAGTTCTTTATATTCTTCCTGTTTACTTTTCTAAGCACACTTGCGATGTCTGGTATCTTCCGGACCCTTGCAGCTTCGACGAAGACACTTGCACAAGCAATGGCTATGGCTGGCGTCATCGTGTTGGCCATCGTCATCTACACCGGGTTTGTAATACCTACACCTCAAATGTCCTCTATTCCATGGTTCAGTTGGATTCGATGGATCAACCCAGTTTTTTATACCTTCGAGGCTCTAATTGCCAACGAATTCCACGGCCGACGCTTCACATGCTCACAGTTCATACCATCATATCCGACACTGACTGGTGACTCTTTTATCTGCTCCATTCGTGGCAGTGTTGCTGGTGAAAGGACTGTTTCTGGAGATGCTTACATCGAAACCCAGTACAACTATACGTATGCACATGAGTGGAGAAATCTCGGGATCCTCATAGGGTTCTGGATCTTCTTCACTGTGGTCTACTTGATCGCAACGGAACTCAACTCGGCAACCTCGTCTAAAGCTGAGTTCCTTGTATTCCGGCGAGGCCATGTCCCTCCCCACATGCGCGGCCTCGACAAAAAGCCCCAGGGAGATGCCGGGGCTGGTAGTGTTGCCGTGGCCCACAGATCCGCCGAATCAGAGAAGGATACATCTGCTCTTCCCGAACAGCATAGTATATTTACGTGGAGAAATGTTTGCTACGATATTCCCGTCAAGGGAGGCCAGCGACGTCTTCTGGACAACGTCTCTGGATGGGTCAAGCCTGGAACACTCACAGCTTTGATGGGGGTATCAGGCGCCGGGAAGACTACTTTGCTTGATGTCCTGGCAAAACGTGTTTCGATAGGCGTTGTTACAGGCGACATGCTTGTGGACGGAAAGCCACTTGACAGTAGCTTCCAAAGGAAGACAGGATATGTACAACAGCAGGATCTGCATCTTTCTACAACAACTGTCAGGGAAGCACTGCGCTTCAGCGCACTTCTACGCCAGCCTAAGTCGGTTTCCAAGAAAGAGAAGTATAAACACGTTGAGGAGGTTATTGAAATGCTTAATATGCAGGACTTTGCCAGTGCTATTGTCGGAACACCTGGTGAAGGTCTTAATGTTGAGCAGAGAAAATTACTGACAATTGGTGTGGAGCTTGCCGCTAAGCCCGCGCTTCTGATCTTTCTTGATGAGCCAACTAGTGGACTGGACTCACAAAGCTCTTGGGCTATTTGTGCTTTCCTCAGGAAGCTTGCAAATCATGGCCAAGCAGTGCTCTCCACTATTCACCAGCCCAGTGCGCTATTGTTTCAGCAGTTCGATCGCCTTCTCTTCTTGGCAAAAGGAGGGCGGACGGTTTACTTTGGAGATATAGGAGAGCAGTCACAAACCTTACTGACATATTTTGAGTCAAATGGTGCAAGGCCATGTGGGCCGTCAGAAAACGTAAGTGCTCTAATGATCTAATGACCGTGTGATGCCTTATGCTGATGATGAAAAGCCCGCCGAGTATATGTTGGAAATTATAGGTGCCGGTGCCTCTGGCAGAGCTACCAAGGACTGGCCAGCTGTTTGGAACGATAGCCAAGAGGCCCATGATATTCAAAAAGAAATTGATCGGATTCACCAAGAGAGAGCCTCTGCCCCTGAAACTGGCAATGACGATGCGCAGAAAGGAGAATATGCCATGCCGTTCCCCAACCAGCTGTGGCACGTAACCCATCGTGTCTTCCAGCAGTATTGGCGTGAACCTTCCTACGTATGGGCCAAGCTTATTTTGGCTACTCTTGCCTCCTTGTTCATCGGTTTCACATTTTTCAAACCCGATAGCAACATGCAAGGGTTTCAAGATGTCCTGTTCAGCGCATTTATGCTCACTTCGATTTTCTCAACTCTGGTGCAGCAGTAAGTACATCGTACTACATCTTTCGACAACAGGCTGATGAGGCTTCAGGATAATGCCAAAATTTGTGGTTCAGCGGTCACTCTACGAGGTGCGAGAAAGACCCTCCAAAGCGTATTCATGGGCAGCATTCCTTGTCGCCAACGTTCTGGTTGAGATACCCTACCAAATCCTCGCCGGAGTCATTGCCTACGCGTGCTACTACTATCCAATCTACGGAGCCAATCAGGCATCTCACCGACAAGGGCTCATGTTACTCTTCGTCGTACAATTCTACATGTTCACCTCGACGTTTGCCGCTTTGGTAATTTCCGCGCTGCCTGATGCCGAAACAGGAGGTTCCATCGCCACGCTCATGTTTATCATGGCTCTGACGTTCAATGGTGTTATGCAACCACCCCAAGCACTGCCAGGTTTTTGGATCTTCATGTACCGGGTCTCTCCACTGACCTACCTGATTGCGGGTATCACGGCAACAGGGTTACACGGACGGGCGATTCAATGTTCTAGCGAGGAGATGAGCGTATTCAATCCTCCCTCTGGTCAGACCTGTGGCCAGTACATGGCTCAGTATTTGCAAACTGCGGCGGGGACACTTTCTAACCCAGCAGCGACTCAAGGATGTCAATACTGTCAGCTGCAGAATGCCGATCAATACCTTGCAACAAGTGAAATTTGTACGTTCATGTATTCCCATTTGTCCTTTACCTTTGATTTATGCTGACGAATCTAAAGACTACAGCCAGCGCTGGCGGAACTTCGGAATAGGATGGGCATATGTGGGGTTCAACATCATGGGTACAGTCGCCTTGTACTACATGTTCCGGGTCAAGCACTACAACCCCACTAGTCTGGTCAGAGGCGTGGTACAGGGCGCAAGGGTGGTCTGCCGCGTGTTCAAGAGACGATCCGGACAGACGCCCAAAGGAAGAGAAGCCGAGAACGGAAAATTGTTCTAGGGTTCTAGGAGGGATAAGCATGATCTACATGTCACGGGGTATTACGGTTATATTCTGTGGTCAGCATTCTGCTGACTATTTTTCCCGGCATATTTTATGCTTGCCATGAAATATAAAACACATCTGTTAAATAATAAGCAGTAATACTCAGTTAGTCTGCTTGTATGTATGTGCTACCTCGTTATGAGAAACAATCCTGCATATCATCAAGTTGTCCTTGATAGAGGCTAATAAGAAAAAATAAAATAAGCAGCGAATCAGATAACGCAATGGTCCGCAGCTTAAGCATCATTGGTCTAGTGGTAGAATTCATCGTTGCCATCGATGAGGCCCGTGTTCGATTCACGGATGATGCACAGCAATTTCTTTTTTTCATATTTTTTCTATCTCCAGATATTATTATCTCAGTCCATTGGCTTTTTTGATTTATTTTCCTTTTCCCCCTTTTTTGCGTCTTTCTTTCCGTTGGCAATATACATACATGTACCATTGTCATCTCCGTCGTCAGCATGTTGCTAATATTTTGCGTGGGGCATCGAATCCTCAGCTACTAGTGGGGAGATGGCTCAGCACGATTACTATATTATATATATTCCCGCTGAAGCATTGGCAATGGTTATCAACCAAGCTAAGTAGTAAGTACTACTAATGGATAGGTATAAGAAGAGTAAGTTCATTATCCGAGATGATAAATAATAGAATGATAGTACTACTGCAGGGTAGGAATCACAAATTTACTATCATTACTGGGTAACTAGTGGTTTTTTTAGAGGTATTATTAAGTGTGAGGAACTATGTAATTGTTAATTAAGGTAATAAGTAAGTACTAGACAAGAAGGGAAATTCCATCATGAAAAAGCCATGTAATCAATCAAACAATCAAACGAACACTAATTGGGGTATTGTGCGGAACCAAACAAATAGAAAATGGACGTGAAAACAGACATGATCGAAGTGATGATGTCTTGACATCTGGGAATGAGGAAGAGTAGGTTAGGTCTGGGTAGGGAGAAAAAGTCAGGCATGCCAATTCGATGGCAATGCTGTCGTGAGATAAGTCGGTGGGTAGGTTGGGGTATCGGAGTATTATCATCATTAAGTGAAAAGTTAGTCGGCCGCACGGACGGACGGATGAGGTGAGGTGAGGTGTGTTGTATGGCGCCGTGTTGTGTTGTTGCTTTGTGCAATATCAGACCGTAGATCAAAGTGTGGATTAGGTGGATCGGTCTCTGCAGGTTGTTCATGCAGGCAGGCTGTTAGGTTGCATGTGAGCTATCGCAGCCACGAAACTGTCAGGACACCGATTGTCGCGGGACAACGAGGGCGCTGATAACGTGGGCGGAATTCCATCCCTGGTCGACTAGGGGCACATGTTCCTTGAGCATTCTGCCTAGGTAGACGAATCTCACACGGTGAGTGCGCGGAATCTATACAACCGCTAGTGTTAGTACTGGAGTTCAATTCCGATTTGTGAGTGATCTGGGATTGAATTGCAGCTGACGTACCCCTGCCTCTTGTTGCACTTTACGGGCTATCAAGCCGACATTCATTGTCTTCACCACTGACAGGACGATATCGGGACCGCCTCTATCGCTCAATCGCGCACGAATGCGGATCAGATCACGCTCGCTAGTCTTGCCCTTTTCGTCCCGGCGACGTTCGATGTCATCGGCTATTAATTCATCCCCTGAGGCTTCGTCTGAAGATAGCTTGCCGTCATCCGTATCGAAGTCATCGGGCTCCTCGTCGGATCGCACGATATTCTCTGGGTCGCTCACAATGCACTGTGGTAGCCGGTAGAGTACACCTTGCTCGTCGTAACAGCCTTGGCAGAGATCACCGGTGGGGACGGTGATGCCGGCTGCATCAATGAAACTCTGCGCTGTTGCGAGATCACCGGCGCGCATCAAAGAGATGGCCGCAGACAAAGCCGCCCAGATCTCTGAACGACCTGTGACCCTGGTTTCGAAGAACTCGGTGCGCTCCTGGTCCAGTTGTGTGCGGGTCCATAGACGCCGTTTGCTATACCAAACGTGACGACGGATAGGCGCATTGTAATGCTGGCTCAGCGGGAAGTGTTCTGCCCTGATGCGGGGGGCGCGCGCCCTGGTAGATGAGTTGCCGGAGGTGAGCGCATTGCTTGTTGCGGCGGCTTGGGGATGAGAGTCTTCGGGACGGCGCTCTTCGGTAACTACCTGCGCTGCATAGGAAGGACGGCTATTGTCGCGCGATATAGAAAAGCAACAACCCTATAATTTTCAAAGATAGTGAGAATTCGAAACCCGGAATGTCATGTACAAGGACTAGGTGGAAGAGAGAGGAGAGGGTTGGCTGCAGAGAATGGACTTTTGAGATGACGGATAACAGGACGGGATGGCATACGACTCCGCATCGGGAAAATGTATAGGGTGCGGACATGGAGAAATCAAGGAGAACAGAAGGGTGGTTCTAAGACTCACCATGTTGAAGAAACAAGCTCAAGCTCCATCAGCCAAAGACAACCAGTCGCCAGAACCGACGGGGGTCAGTGGTCAGGGAAAGTCACTGCAGGAACGCAGTTGGAGATGACCAGATGAGGAGGGGGGTGGAGGGGGGTTAGAAGATGTGGTTCACGATGCCGGCGGGGGAGAGCTTATTAGACCAGCCTAGTCTAATGAGCCGTTCCTATCATAAATGGAGGATCCTCCCATCCAGTTATCGCAATCGGTCGTATGACCCGAAGCGGTGGAAACCCAGTTGCTGAGTGGTGGTGGCGATGCGGAGAGCTGCAGCGCAATGGCCTGACCAGCCACGATGCAGAGGCACAGAGTGGAAGAAAGAGAAAGAGAGTGTGTAGAAGAGAGAGAGAGAAATACGGTGACAATGATTGAGGAGAGAAAAGCAATAAAAAAGTACTGCTGATCGACCAGTGCTGAGGTAAATAAAAGGAACCAACCAGCGGGGGAAGAAGAGGAGGATATGACGATGACGGCGCACCGACGTGAGGGGATCAGCCCAAGGTTGACTGGAGGGTTCGCCGTCCTCTTCTTCGTGTTAAGCAAAAGTAGAGAACTTTAAGCGCGGAGCCTAGTTGATATTGCCAACTGATCACTCGCTCCGCAACGTTTCCTGCGGTGTCACCCTGTGCAGGTCTTGTCCAGACCGTTCTTTTGCGAGTTGGAGAGTTGGAGAGGGAGAAGTTTGGGGGGAAGGAGAGAAGTTGCAAAGGCGGCTTTCTCTTCCGGCTTCACTTGTATCGGATGTCACAGTTCCAGTCCTCCACAGGAAAGAAATTGAATAGAAAAGAGAAGAAAAAAGAAAAAAGAAATAAACAATTATTCTACTCTGATTGAGAATCTACTGCATATTTATTTTTTCTTTTTTATTATGCATCCATTGTCAGGTGGATCTCCTTTTTCTTTTGGTTTTTTATCAACCAAAGAAAACTTTAAGCGGTCGGGTACGTGGAAGGAGTGGGACTTTGCAAATATCCTCAGACGATCATTACGTTTCAAAGTCAATATTGGCGTTGCCTGCAGGAAATACGAAGACTGGGTGTCTATCTAGCTGTACAGGTCCAGGATCCCCCCAATATATCAATCAGCTCATTTCCTCATCCTCATCCTCATCTTCATCATCGCTGCCAAAGATCGCCTTGAACACCGCCTCGCCCGGCCGCTCCGCTTCTAATGCTTCGTTTCGCTCTGGCTCGACCACTACCGGCGCCCGACTCCCCGCTGGCCCTGATGACGTCGGTGAGGCCGCGTCTGCAGCTGCCAGAGATCCACCGCCAGCCTCAAGCATGAGTTGGTTCATAACATCCCGCGAAACTAACTCTTTCGGCCCGGAAGCGGTCTGGTAACCTGCCGATTGGAACCGACTCCCGGAGACGGGGGCTTCAGCGCGTCCCGATGGCGCACCAGGATCCATCTGGACATGCTCGGGGGGCCGAACATTGAATCGCTTGCACAAGAGACGCGTCGGGTAGAAAGAGATGCTACTTCGAGTCATTGGGCCAAACATGCCAATTTTCGCTGCCTCCACTGCAGGGTCCTCTGGTTTGGCTGCGGGCTTGCTAAGCAGAGGCTCCGCCGAAGGAGACCCGTCAGACTTGTCGGATGACTCTTTGGGTCCAGAACTGGCAGAGGTGAATCGCGATGCCATGAGTCCAGACATGGGCTTAAAGACCTCCGCCGCTCGCGCAAATTCGTGTAGTTCCGCTGCCCATTCATCGGTCGTTGATCCGGGGACCCGGTCCGGAAGGCTGTCACGGAGTCCAGCTCGTACTTGGAGAAATGTTCGATAGCGGTCCCGTTTGCTTAGATCTTCTGCATACGGCATCCAACCACTGGCTGCTCGTGTGAGTGCCTGAACGGCTACCTGCTTATCCAATTTGGGTACGAGATCCCACAAATCCTTGCGCTTCTCCGCCTCTGAGAGCTCGTAGCCTTTAGGGGCCTTTTCACCAAGAGCCGGCGGCAGATCGGTCTTTCCCGTAAGCTTCACGATCCTTTCCCGAGCCTCAGGAGTCATCCAATCGAATATGGACTTTCCGGGAAGTTGTGCTTCTCCCAAGAGCGCGGCTCTTGCGGTAGGATCCATTGACGAAGCTTTAGCTGCCTCCGCCGTAGAAACGTAGTTTGAGACATCCCTTTCCTGTGTCGGTGCTTTGCTGGATTTCCAATCCTTGGGAATTTCCGGTGGCGCATACTTCTTCTCTTGCGAGGATATTGAGAGGCTTGAAATGCCATCCGCAAGCAAGAATCCTTCCAGAGGCAAACGGCCATCAGAACACTTTCGAAAACCGGCGGCGCCCTTGGCGGCAATGACCCTTTTCGGTATGTATACGGGTTTGCTGCCAATAAGCGGGTTTGACGAACTGGAGAGTAGTCTCGCATCCTCGGCAGGTTTTGCTTTCTTTTTCTTCTTCTTGTCCCCTCCGATCACTCGGTTGTAAGATATCTGTGGGCCTAATGAATAAGGATCCTCATCATCCGAGCCAGTATCATTTAGCACACCGACGCCAAACGCCCCGCGTCGTGGTTCTTTCGCCTTGGGCTGCTTCGGCTTCCCCGGAGCCATTAGCCGCTTTCCGAAGAACGAATCATTATCCTCGTCGTCAGATTCGTTCGCTTTGGTTTGCCGAGCATCTAGGCGGGCCTCTCCCTCAAATCCAAGGCCCTTATGATCGGTCTTATGGATGAAAGCAACCATTGGCGGGTTTTCGGGCGCGAAGAGGTATGTTTGTTCGGCTCCTTCATCACGTTGCAACATACCGTCCCCGAGGTCAGCTCTACGCCGCACCTTGGGCCCAATTCCCTGGCCTTCTCGCCATCCCATTCTCTTCAGAAGTTTCACCCCCATTGTTTCTCCGCTCGTTTTCAGGAGGTCCATCAACCCTCCGCGGCGCGCCAATTCGGCATCTGTAGAACCAAATCCGGAGTACTCATCGGCGGTTTGCAGTCTCTTGGACTCTTCCGCTTCCCGAACATCCTCCTCATCCATAAAATCTTCTGGTCGCTGCTGTCGAACATCCTTGGCGCGGTTCTGGCGCGAAGACACAAAGGTTGCTGGAGTCCATCCTTCCTTCGACCCGACGGTGTTGAAGTACCTGAAGATGGGCCACCTTTAGTGTGCTGTCCAACGCTATTGATGAATCGTGAGCTCACCCGGCACTGAATCCACCGGTGAAGGCACCGTGTAGGCGTTTCCTTCCCCGGTCATCGGTCACCTCCTGCTTCCAGATGGGCGCATATGATCCGTCGTCTCGTACGCTATCGTCCAATGGGGGCAATGGGGTTCCGTATAACGCGTAGGGAGACTGGCGGGCCTGCAAGTCTGCCTCGAAGGCGGCGCGGCTCCTTTTACTGGCCATGGTGAAGGTGCAGCTCAAGGATGCAGCATGGCTGTTTCTGACGTCGACATATCATCAGTGTCTGTATTGTAGATCCTACGTGGATGAAGTGGTCTTACCACTACTTGTATATTTGGTTATCCACCTGGTGAGTGAACGAATGGAAGAGCACTAGAATGGTGACCTGGAAGGAAGCGGAAACAAGCAGACACTGATGATGATGAACGCTGCATGACAAGAGGCCGCGGGCGGAAGACATGTGACAAGGCGGACATGGAAAAGGCGCGTGCACCGCCACGTTTCTCTGTGGCTGGAAACAGTAACTGCAGCAGTACCTCGAAAGTAAGTACCTTTAAGCACCTGGCCGGATTTAATGTTTAAGTGTATCACACTCTATTCCTTCATTGTTGTGAAGCATGTGATGTGTCAACAGATCTGGGAGAGATGATATGATTTCAGGCTACGTGTGTTGGTCTTGTTCAGCTGGACAATTAATTAATCAGTAGAATTTGAAGAGACCCCAACAATATATATTGTTAGTGCTACGGGGGGGTACTACGTACTAAGTAAGTTCTTACTAGTCTGGCTGTTCTCGGATTAACCGCGAGATTGAGAGTGATGGGCCACGGGGGCGGATGACAGATCCAACATCAGCATCCGAAAACAGAACGAGGGCATCTGATGTCCACTTCTGCGACCGAACGTGCTTGGCAGATAAATCTGGACTCATCCGACCAACTTAATTTGGACCGTCCAGCAGGTTGAAATTGTCAGGACCCAGAATTGATGGTGATGATGATGAGTCCCCTCGGCCAGGTGATCATGCCCATCCGTGCCCAAAACACCGAAAGTCCGACGTATCAAATGGTCTCGTTCCACCGGCGGTCGGAGGAGAAGGAGTAGTTGTCAGGGTCCATGATCCGACCTGTAGGGGTGAGGTGAGATTGATGGAGAGGGGAAAGGACTATGGAACCAGACTATTGCCTGGGAGGCAACCACTATGTGATTCAATATAGTAATATAGTAATCTCGGATGGAGAACGTGCATGCAGCTGTCTAATTTCTACCGGGAGGAGAAGGGGGAAGAAGCAGACAGGAATGGAATCCCCGTCGATAGAGAAAATGAAGGGAAAGAAAAGAGTAAGTAAGAGGAACAGAACAAGAAGTAAGGTAACGATAAATATTTTTTTCAGATGAAGATAAGTGGATGGAAATTGCAGTTTCCATTTCCCCTGCGTAACTCGATGCAATCGCCCTGGTGATTCCGCCAGAATCCATGCAGCAGCAAGCAAATACGAGAGAAGGTCGCATGGGCATCATTTCCTCACCCTCCCGCTCTTGACTCTCACCCTCCTCCTTCTACTCCTCTTTTCCCATTCTCTCTCTTTAATTATCTACTCTAATCTCCAGTCCTCCATTCACTCTTCAACCTGAAGAAGAAGAAGAAGAAGAAGAAGAAGAAGTACGTCCTGCATTTTTATTTTTAAAAATAAGCAAGCCAAGCAAGACCCTTCAATTCCCTTCACACATTCTTGGCCTAGCAGAGTGCAGCGGAGATCAGAGACATTATTCGGGATATCCCCTCTTTTCTAGTGTGTCTTCCGGGAACTGCTATTCCTGGCTGATTCCTGGCTGGGCTTGTCCGGTCCTGGTCTGGTCTGGTTTCTGGCTTTCTCCGCAGCTGCCAGCCGCAATCCCAGCGTTAATCCAACAAACACTCAGTACTCAGTACTTAGTACTAAGTAATAGTAGTACTAGTAGTACTACACCCAGTCCGTTCCCACATTTCTCTTGTCTTGTCTCTTTTCTGCATTTCGCAAACTCCTCTTGTCCATTTTTCATTTCCCTTATTTTCCTCCCCCCCGCCCCTTTCACTCTTTTTTTATTTTGTTTTACTTACTCACTCTATTGTGGGTTGTATCTATTCACTCCTTTCTCCTATTTCCCTCCCCCCATCAGCTCCGCTAGTAGTGGTGCCCCGTCCCTTCTACTACTACTACTACTACTACTGCTACTCCTCCCCTCACACCAACCCACATCTCACCCCCCCTAATTTCTAGACCTTCCGAAAATACATGGGGGAGGAGTGTGTCAAGCCGTTTCACTGGAGACTAGACGTACCCACGCAGGCTGTCGCTTCCCTCAAAGTTGCTCCGTCAGCCAACGCCATCTCCCCCACTCGATCCCACTTGCTCCCCGACCGGTCTTCTGGCCTCCCTTTGGGCTGCATCCCGCCCTCACGCGAAACCCTCCCCTCCTCGATCACCAAGCGATCTTAGGGTGGATGAAGCGCGCTGAATCGTGGTTGGCTCGGAACTTCTCGTCAATTTCGTGCCCATCGTGATGTCCACTGCTGCTCCTCCCACTGCGTCACCCTCCGTCGTCCGAAGCCAGTCCATCTCCTCTCGCTCCTCTTCCCATCGTCCTCCCTCGTCTGATCTCCCTCACCGAACCCGAAGTGTCGCGGTCCGTCCCGCGACTGCCTCCCAGCCATCTCCGCAGCATCACCATCATCATCATCACTCGCAGAATCGCTATTCCCATTCCTACTCCAAATCTCAGTCCTATGATCGTCGCCCTCCCTCGAATCAAGCCGTCTTCGACCACATAGCCCGTCGCGATTTTGAAGCCTCCAGGGGTGCCCAACCCGTTCCGTTCCGTCGGGACTCCTCCAGGGAGCGTTCACAGGAGCGCCCCTCCACCTCCTACCGCTCGGAACAACCTTCACACAAACAGCACCGGAATTTGTCGGCACACGGTCATCAACGGGATAGCATCGACATGGCTACCGCGGGGCCCGTCATGGCGGAGGGTGTTGCGGGACATTCGCAGGCTGCTGCCGGCGCCCACCTGCACCCGACCAACTCCGTACAAACAAAGCGTCGCACGATGATCACAACCCCGTCGGGTCAATGGGCTTTGGGTAAAACACTGGGAGCAGGCAGTATGGGCAAGGTCAAAGTCGGAAAGAACATGGATACTGGCGAGCAGGTAAGTGATTCCATCTTGTCGTCCTTCGGATTCTTTCCGTTCATTCACTGATTCCATACAGGTGGCTGTTAAGATCGTCCCCCGGCAATCTACGGAGGAACACCGCAGCTCGCGCGAGGCCGAAAGAGCTGATCGCTCCAAAGAGATCCGCACCGCCCGCGAAGCAGCCATTGTCAGCCTCGTCAATCACCCGTACATTTGTGGTATGCGAGATGTGGTGCGAACCAATTACCATTGGTATATGTTGTTCGAGCTCGTCAATGGGGGCCAGATGTTGGACTACATCATCTCCCACGGCAAGTTGAAAGAGAAGCAGGCTCGGAAGTTCGCCCGTCAAATCGCCAGCGCATTGGATTATTGCCACCGCAATAGTATCGTGCATCGTGACCTGAAGATCGAGAACATCCTGATCAGCAAGACCGGCGACATCAAGATCATCGACTTTGGCCTGAGCAATCTTTTCTCCCCGAGGAGCCTTCTCAAGACATTCTGTGGCAGTCTCTACTTCGCAGCCCCGGAATTACTACAGGCTAGACAATATACCGGACCGGAGGTGGATGTATGGAGTTTCGGAATTGTACTCTATGTTCTGGTCTGTGGCAAAGTGCCTTTTGACGATCAGAGCATGCCCAAACTTCATGCCAAGATCAAGCAGGGTGTGTTCGAGTACCCGCCCGGGCTCACGACAGGTTAGCTGATCCCTTTGCCGTCTTTCACCTACGAAATGCTAATACTTCCTTGTAGAATGTCGCCATATAATATCGCGCATGTTGGTAACCGATCCCAAGCAGCGTGCCAGTTTGTCAGAGATAATGAATCACCCATGGATGAACAAAGGCTTCAATGGGGCACCCGACAACTACCTCCCATACCGTGAGCCGATACAGCTCCCCTTGGATCCGGAGGTGGTCGAGAAAATGACCGGATTTGATTTTGGATCCGCGGAATACATTACAACACAACTCACCAAAATTATCGAGTCGGAGGAGTATCAGCATGCTGTAAAGGCCATGGCTCGTGACCAACCTCCTCCCAGCCATACTGAGAAGAAGCGCGGTGTGTTCGACTTCTACAAGCGACGAAACTCGGCCAGCAGAGACACACTGTCCGCTCCCTCCGCCGAAGCTGTTCAATTAGGCAACGACCCGGTTAATGCCTATAGTCCCCTTTTGTCGGTCTACTACCTCGTAAAGGAGAAGCTTGACAGAGAGCGGGTCGAAGTTAACCCTGGTGCGCTGGGTGTTCCGCACGCTAGCGGGGACTCGATGCTCCAGATGCCAGACCTTCCTGCGCCAGAGGCCGCTCACACCAACCAATACCACGTTCCTGGAGAGAAAGATACCGGGAGAAGGTCTCGTCCTCGAGCAAGGACCCATGGTGACGATGATCTCAATGATGGTATCAAGAACCTTCATCTGGCCCCACAAGCAGGGCACTCTCCTGCGCCTCCTGCGTCGCAGCCGGAGACTCCGGTGAAGAAGGAGAGCACGGCAGCAGGTATTCTAAGGCGATTCAGTACGCGAAGGACCAAGGAGCGCAGTCGCGACCCGGAACGCGGCAGACTTGGAAGCCCACATACGCCGTCCTTGAATGTCCAGCCCCCTGCCGACTCGGCTTCGCCTCTTTCCAGAGGGTTTAGCGTTAAGAGAACCCGACGCGCGGACCCATCTCCGACAGCCGTTCACACGGCTGGTAGTCAACCACAGCACCAGGATCTTCTCAAGGCTCCAGGACCCGCCGAGCCGGCCTCGCGGTCCAACAAGTTCTTGGAGAGATCTGCAAGTGTGAACTCGGCAGACTACCGAGCTCGCCGTTCTCGCAGACACGAAGCGGATGCGGCAGCCCAGCCACCTCCCACTAGCGGCTCCGACTACGCGAACGTGCAGAAAGAAACCACGCCCGGAAAGGAGGCCAAGTTGACCCGTACACACACAGCCCGGACAATGTCACTGGGTCATGCCCGACGCGAAAGTATCCAGGCTCGGAGGGCAAGACGGGAAGCAACGCGCGAGGCCAACGTTCCTGAGGAGACCGACGCGGACATTTCGGGCGCCGGTACGGCATTAGAAAGTGCCAACGAAGGAGAGGACCTCTCCAAGCCAGTGTATCTGAAGGGACTTTTCAGTGTTTCAACAACCAGCAGCAAACCTCTGCCAGTCATTCGGGCTGATATCATCCGGGTCTTGAAACAGCTCTCCGTGGATTACGTCGAGATCAAAGGCGGCTTTAGCTGCCGCCACGCACCGAGCATCGACCTGGACAAAGTAGTAGATGTCGGACCCCCCAGCCCAGACCGTCAGGGACATGTTTCGGGCCATCGTCGCCGCATCAGCTTCGGGGGCTTGTTGAACCATGATGAGCGAGACGAATCGCGACACTACACGCCTCGGGGCCAGCGTCGGACTCGTGCTCCACCGGATCAAAGTTTCGTGACAGACTCTGAAGGCCCCGACGAAGATGATGGCTCTCGGGACCATCGTGACAACGTGGTGGTGGGCGAACGTGTCATGGGAGAGACTACAACCCGGGTGCAGAGTGATACAGGCGAGAACCTGGTCCTCCGGTTCGAAATTCTGATTGTCAAGGTGCCGCTGTTCTCGCTGCATGGTATCCAGTTTAAGAAGGTTGCAGGCGGTATGTGGCAATACCGGGAAATGGCCAAGAAAATCCTGGACGCTTTAAGACTCTGAGAGTATTGTGGATGGGGCGCCTGCACGCAGATTGCATATTATTTTACTCGGGCCAATCGGCTTGAACCATGAGCATTTGCATGAGCATCACGTGTTTCTTTTGTTCCTTTTCCTTATGTTAACTTTCGGTCTGCATAATCCTTGAGCTGGCTCATCGTCCCCGGTAGCGGTTTGTCGTGGTGTACATTAGAACCGAGCAGGATGCATCATGGATTTCCGTCAGTTTTCTCCCCCCCGAGTCTTTGAACCCTTGACCTGTTGTATAATTTCTGGGCTGTTTTCCTATGTTAGAGTTCTGTCTCTCTGCAGGACTATGGAGCGTTACCATGCGTAGGAATGTCGGCCCTGTTTCAGTCACATTGAAGGTTATGATATAGGTAGATTTGATGGCAGTCATAATACTCTGGTTCGTTGGCCATTTACCTGTGTCAGCGTTTACCTACAACTACAAAGCAACTCCTACAGTGTAGAGACCTGAGACCGAGACCTTGATAGGCTGTACTTGGCTGCCCCTGATGCAGATTTGAATGCATGTATAGACTTCTGGTAGCAATTCCGTTGTACGCTATGGCAGCAGCAGCTGGACAAAATAAGAACCTTCTAAGCAAACAGCATCTACTGTTCTGTCGATCCTTGATGACTTGATTTCACACTCTAAGTACGGTATATAGTTTGTGTGATTGCCGATTTAAACATTCACCACTAGTATATACTAGCCTTGATCGACTGGATACAATCTTACAGACCCACTAAGTTCATACCCCAAAGCTCATCTCATTTACAAGATATGTCGATCAGAAAGCGGAAGCCAGATTATGCACTTGCCAGCAGCCAGTTGGCCCCTTTAGCGTGATGCCGTAGGGTTTTTCTTGGTTAGTCTAGAGACCGAAAGGACGCCAAGAGGCGAAGTATAGGGTGTTGTGCAGTATCTAAGCATTATTGCATAACAGGGTACATTCAAGACCAGATCAATATACCTTATCTTGAAGTCCATGTAAGTTTACACAGTTCTCAAGTCTGAAGAGAACCTAAGTGCCAATTGTCTATAACTAACCTTGAACCATGTTTCAACATGATTAGTCATGACACGGATGACATGCCAAGAAATAATGCCACAAGCACAAAAGAAATAATTAAAGCCAGTTTGAATCGCTCTACTGTCTTTACTAGAGTGTTTATTTAGGAGTAATTTATCAGATACGATTTGGGATATATTATTCTATATGTTTATACGGTTTTATTACTTATTTTCGAAGATTTGTGGTATGTGCTGTCCTGATGCTTTTTTTGTCTGCATTTGTTGTTTTGGCTGGGCGGAACTATGCAAAGATAACACGATTAGCCCCCTTTATGGTTTCTTTCTCATTTCTCTCATAATCTTATTGGCCACAATGGCCAGTTTAGAATTGCTCGATCTATTTATCAAGTGGAATTCTGATACCACGAACGAGCATAGCAGCAGAAGTTCAGGATAAGGTATGATTCAGGACACATCTCCTTTATCTTTGTAATTATTGAAATATTAATATTTAATTTGTCAGTTATATTGATTTAGAATTGTATTGTCTGATAGCTAATATAGTTAAACTAATTAATTTATAAATCACCTGACTTATAATTGCCTAAAATAGCCTAGTCTCATTTCTAATTCACTCCTAACTCCAAGACTTGATTTTATTCTAAGATCATCTTCAGCAGCCACCAGTCTCATGGCTCCTATCAGCGTGTTTTTCTTGTGATAGTTCTATACCCATGAATTTACTGCCTACCTGAGCGCCTGTTAACTCTACCACCATGGTTATCGATCTTACGCTTGACTCGGACTCTGAAGAGAGGAATGAGGTGAGTTGTTCTTTTACGCATTTCCGCTCTTTCAAGTTTGGTTGGTGTCGTGTTATCAGGTGTTTTTCGTGCGGCTAGTAGTCTATCTAGTTTGTGAGCTAGCGGCTATACTGCGTGCATGGATATTTTCTGTTGTGAATACTTAGACAAAAGCCACAACATCTTTTACTTTCTTTTCTTCTTCAATCTCCCTGAAAGAAATAACATCTGACAGTCTCACACTTATTTTCTTTTTTGTTATACTTGAAGTTGAGACATGTTCTTGTGACCTTAACAATTTCGCTTCACTTCATTCACTGCACCACTCCTGCTATAGTTCGTGAGAGGATCAGCTGACTTGATACATCCAGAATCATGTGCCATCGTCAGCACCACATGTTCAGAACAACATCCCCAAGTCCCCTTCTACTCTCACCCACCGCCCTGCATCCTCAGTTCCCTCGAAACGAAAATCTGAAGATGTGGATGAACTACTGGCATCCTTCCTGCCCCGCCGGCCGCAGTCACAGCCACGGCTTTTTTCCCAACCACAACCGACTAACCGGGCCAATCAGCACGCCATCTCTATCGAAATAGATGATGACGATGAAGATGAGGACGTCAAGCCTATCCAAAGTCACCGCAGAGTCACAGCTGCTCGATCCTCTTCCTTTAACCCTAACACCGTTTCCTCTGCTGGAAAGGAAAACGGACCTCTGCAGATCAAGTCTAATGCAACATCTACTCGTTCATCTTCACCCTTCACCCTCGCAGCCACCAAGCACGAACCTCACCACAGCCAAGACGGGGATGAAGACAGAAAGCAGAGTTCCCTCTTAAGCACCCGCCGGTCCCTCTCCTTCCAAACCCCTAGTCCAGGCCCTATCTCTCTCAGCGTAGTAATCCCCTCGCCTTCTCGGCGCCAGCAACAGGAAATCGATTCAGCCGACGTGATCTCGGTCCCATCTCCAATCGGCCTCTCCGAGGACTTTTACCCAACCGACGCGTATGAAAAACGTGCCTTGAAGGGTGCATACCCCGTGGCCCGGAAAGTGGATCGAGCAACCATTCCATTCACGATCGGCGCCCCTGGCCCACTACTCACATCTAAACCGGATATCAACGCCCAGCTGCACCAGACCCTGCAGCAGAAGCTCGCAAAGATCCGAGGCCCTCAAGTAACCTTTGCATCGGGGGACCAGCACCAGCTAGCGCAGTTCGCAGCCAACTTTGAGTTTGTGAATGCGTATAAGCTACGACAAGGGGTCACGCCTGTCCCAGAGGAGTTCCTTGCGGGATGTAGCTGTGACGGATTCTGCGATCCAGCGAGATGTCTCTGTCTCAGCAAGGAAGAGGAGACGAATGACCCAATGGTGCCGTACAGGCGGGCCGACGATGATGGGCGATTGCTGGTTCTTACGCCGGAGTTCCTGAAACGAAAGGTCATGATCTACGAATGTAGTTCGAGATGTGGATGTGATGAACGCTGCTGGAATCGAGTAGTGCAGAATGGCCGGACAGTCCGACTAGAGATTTTCTGGACTGGCAACCGAGGGTTCGGTATGATCCATTCCCAACTCATAGTCCTTACACAAATCCCCCATATCTATATGTATATGCTAACGAAGAAGGAAAAATTAGGCCTCCGCTCCCCCGACCCGATCCGCGCAGGCCAATTTATCGACTGCTACTTAGGGGAGGTAATCACCAAAGAAGTTGCCGACATCCGCGAAGACGCGACATCTCAGAAAGGCCCCTCCTATCTATTCAGTCTCGACTTCCTCGCCACCGGCGAAGACAGCAAATACGTGATCGACGGACACCGATTCGGAAATCCAACTCGTTTCATAAACCACTCGTGCAACCCGAATTGTCGTCTGATTCCCGTGACCCGCAACCACGCCGACGATTACCTGTACGACTTAGCTTTCTTTGCGCTGAGAGATGTACCACCCATGACGGAGCTGACCTTTGACTATAATCCCGGCTGGGAGAAGGTTAGGAAGGTTGATCCGAATGCTGTGCCTTGTCTTTGTGGGGAGAGTAATTGTCGTGGTCAGCTTTGGCCGAATCAGAGGAAGGCGAAGAGGGGGTGATGGATTCCTTCTCCTTCTCCTTCTTTCTTTTTTCTTCCATTCACTCACTCTGCAACCTTTCAGCCCTCTTGTCGATATCGTCATATGACATGACATGGAGTGCGCGTTGAGTCGACGATCAGCCGTATTGATTGATTGCATTATGCCTGCTTCTACTGTTGAGATCAGGTAAAAACATGCCATTATCCCTTTCTTCTTTTTTGACCCCATGGTGTTGTTAGGCATCTTCCTGCGTTCTTGCCTCGCATTGCATATTATTCTCTGGGGAAGGTGTTCAACATACTCCATTGCTTTGTTTAAACTTTTGCATGGTGAAATTTCTTCGTCTTGATATCAGATACCCCGATGGTCTCAATTACATCTTCTTTCCTTTCCCCTTTTACTTTCTTCCTATTTGAGAATTACGGAGTTATGTGTGTGTGTGTGTATACTGGTGGCATTCAGAGAAGTAACAAACAAGTGGATACTGGATAAGTGTATTTTCAGCATTTTGTTATTGTTCTATCTTATGCTGAGATGCAGAAGATAGGTGGACTGAAACAGGCAAGCAAATTATTGAAGGAATAATGAAATGTTCATTATGTATGCTAATCTGCAAGATATGCATGCAGTTGCATTGTCCTGAATGATATGTCCATAGCAGGAGATATAATCAGATAATCGGATTCAAATGAGAATCATTATCAGAAAATAGAGAAATAAAGTAAAGTAGCAATCAAACACACAGCAAACCCTCTACACAAAAATAATGCAAAGTAAACTCCACTGCACTCCACTCCACAATTCACAATTCACAACTCACAAGGTATCCGCCAATTCCAATTCAATCAACAAAAATCAAGTAAACCCGCTCAAACCCAAGCATAAACAAACAACCCTAATTACTCCATCCATCCCAAACCCCCAATACATCTCCCATCGCCCACTAAAACAATTCATCATAAAATAATCCGAGGGATCAGGATCACCCCCTCCCCTCCATAACCTCAAAAATCCCACCCATCACAAACCTCGGCTGGGAACCACTCCTCTCCAACACGCCCCCATCGACCGCCCCAAAAACACTATCATCCATACTATCCAACGCGAACCCTACCCCCAATAACGGATCCACGGGTCTCGGCTCCATCAAATCCAATCCCAGCCGCTCAATCTTATCCTCGTCGGCACGAGATCGCTCCTCCGAGAGGGCCAAATCGACCTTCGAGGGCCGTCGCCGTAGCAGCATCATCGACATGGATGAGGGGCGGTGGTGGTGGTGGTAGTACCGGAAGGGACTTTGGCTGCGGCTGCGATTATTACTACTTCTGCCATAGTAGTAATCTTGGCCATAGTTGTAGTCGGAGAGGGAGGTGGTGTTGAGGCTGCCGATAGCATTGTTGTAGTAGTGGTTATTGTTAAAGCGACGGCGGCGGGGAACGGGAGAGGAAGTGGGTGAGGAGGTGGGACTGGCTGTTGTGGAGCTGAGTGGAGTTGGGGTGGTGGATGGGATGGAGAGAGTGACGGAGAGGGATGGGGAGGATGGACCACCACCGCCGCTGCTGGGGTTGGCATGAATAGCGTTGGAGGTGGTCGGGGGGTGTGGATGGGGTGGGATTATTGTTGATGTTGCGTGTGTTGAGGTGGACATTTTGTTGTTGCGGTCGGATGAGGATGAGGATGATGAAGGGAAAGAAGTGTGGAGGTGGAGGGGGGTGGGTTGGTTAGGGCGCATTTTTGGTTTGGTTGTGAGGATAGATGAGGATCAGTAGATAAATAGGTGGAAATGAGAATGAGGATGTTCTCTGGGGGGAGAGAAAAGAGAAAAGAGAGAATAATAATAATAAAAAGTAAGATGGATAAAATAAGATGAGATGATGTCAGGTGGGTGCGGGCTGACCGACAATATGAATAATAAAGTAATTAAGATTGACAGATAACCATCAATAATGTATGGGATGAGATTGGATGTTGATTGATTGAATTCAATAGAACAGAGAGAGAGATTCGGAGGGAAAATTAGATCGAGTCAGGTGGTCCGTCGGGTTTCGCCTCACCAAAGCAAAGCAAAGCAGCCAGAAAATGATGTGGGGAGACAAATTAGGATCAGGTCAGGTACAATAATGATCAAAAGCAAATATTAGTTGTAGTTGGTAAGTAAATGAACAGTTGAGTGACGACAATAACGTCAGAGGAAGGAGTCAGTCACGCCTCATTGTAGTATCAGGAACTGAACAAGAAACAGCCAGAAGTAACTAGAGCTGGCAACAGCAGGAGTAGTTAAACCTTCTTATAACTACAGCCCAGACAGAGGCCAGTTAGTAGGGGGGGCCCCATTTGCATCCAAATCCTACAAAAGCGGCAGGTAAGGAAGGAGGAAAAAGGGAAATGGAATTAAGTGTAAAAAGTAGTAGACTTGGGGACTGGGGATAAAGATGATTGATTGAACGAGGGCGACTCAGGAAGTCGCCGAACGCAGGGACGCTTTCCTTTTTCCTCGCCCCCCTCGTTGCTGCATCCGGCCATCTAAACTATCTTTCTTATCCCTTCCGACGGACCTCTCCTGCTTTGGCTTTTTTTCCCACTCCCCTTCTTTTCCGCCTGCGGACGTTCTCTCTTATCTTCTCCTTCCTTGTCTTTCATCCTTATACATACGTGTTCGTGCCTGCTCTCTCCCTACATCCGGATTTCAAAAACCCAACCTTCATCGTTGCCCAATCCGGTAATGCCAAGCATCCTGGAAAGCCAAGTTCATTGCTGAATATTAACCAATCAATCATCATCATCATCTTCTTCTTCTTCTATCTATTCCTCTCTCTTTGTACACATACACATACACATTTGGATAAACTGACCTGCGCTCGGAACCAAGCAACGCAGTGGTTTTCGCCCACACGCCCCCGCTATGCAAAACATCTAGTCTCGTAGCGATCAACAACTCTCTCTCTCTCTCTCTCTTCCCCTCTCTTCACTCACTGACGGATCACACAGACCGGCAAATGAATCACCCAAAAACAAAACAGACTGACAGCAGATGATGGATGCATCGTAACATCGAGAACGGCACGGCTAGTAAGTATGAGGAAAGGGATAAAAGCAAGACACGCCAAAAAACAGGAGTAGACCAAATACACATAAAGAGAATCAACCAAGAAACAAAACCAAGGGTGAAAAGTTGAAATCATCCCCATGTTCACATCTCTATTTAGAAAAAAGAAAAAACCAAATCGTGGCAACATCGCTCATATATCAACCAACTCATCTATTCTCTCACTCCCCCGATCGCCGTCGCTGTGTGAAGCTGCGTCGGATACTCTCGCCCCACACCGACTCGCCCAGCGACTGCATCACATCGTTCACGTTCATCGCGCTGTTCTGTCGCGAATGTGCCGGGCTTGTCTGCTCATCGTGCACATCTCCCCCACTGCCGTACGACGACGTCGTGCCAGCCCGCTCCCGCAGAGGCGACAGCGATGGGCTGATGCTGGACCATTCCGTCGCCGGGGAGTTCAAGACAGAGATCCGACCCAGCGGACTGGTATCGATGGGTGGCAGCTGGTACCGTGTGGCTCGCCCGGTCGGGGATGTTGGGGACAGCATCGGCTGCTGCGACGATTCTTCTCCGGTCAGCGCGTCGCGTGCTTGTTCTCGTGGCCCCTCGGTCGCCGCCGGGTCGTCGTGAGATCCGTCATCAATAAAGATCTCCGGCACCGAGAACTGAGGAACACCACTCATCCGGGCCGACTTCTTATGCTCAACCCGACGCCGGAACTCGCGAGACCAATATAGTGTGTCGAAGAAGCCGATCACGGTCTGCCGACGGATGGTTTCCTCGACACGCTGCAGTCGCGCCCGTCTGCGCAGGAACTCTTCCAGTCGCAGACTCTTGCTGTCGCTGATCACGTTGTAGTGGGCCAGGATCATGAGACAGGAGTGGAACGAGATGCCGCGCACCGGGTCTGCCGACACAAGTACCTCCTCATAGAACGCGTTCAGCCGTTGTCGGCGGTTGCGCACTACGTCCGTTGGGATCTGTCGAAGGATTCTGGCCATCTTGTCCAAGTCCAGCCCGTCGACCACTCTCCGATGCGCAAGCAACGAGTCGCGCTTGTCAACCCGGCACTCTTCCATGATTTGGCCGATAGTAAATTCGCCATCGTAGATTCGCATCGAAAACACCCCCGAGAGCTCCCCCAGCAGTCGCGGAAACTGTTCTTTGGTGATATACCCGGTTCCGTCCGGGTCATATGTAGCCCATGCATGCTTGAATCGGCGGATATCCTCACGACTGATCGCATAGAGTCCACTGCTCTTCTGGTACACGTAGGAAAAGCTCTCAAAGATCAAGGATGTGAACAAGGATACGAAGAGGTACATGCTAATAATGTTCCAAGCAATAAAAAGTGTCCGAGCCCACGGCGCACTGCCACAGTCGTCTAAGAAAAAGTTACCATCGTAGGTGCACATCGGAGGACTCATCGTGGCATAGTCTTCCATGATTTCGTTCCAGCCTTCTCCACAACTCATCCGGAAGAGCAGCACCAGCGCCTTGGGAACATCGCGGAAGTTGAGGTTGTCGGTCTCTTGTGAACCAAACTTCGTGAGACCAAAGGCTTGGTTCATGGCGATCGCGAATACCAGGAAAAGGACAAACCACGTGGCGATGAGGTTTCCGATCGACGTCAGACTCGCCGCTGCAGTTTTGAACAGCTGGTCAAGCTGGTTGTTTCGGGGAATAATAAGAAGCGTGATCGAGACCAAGAAGAGCTTGTTCAGTTCGTTGATCACCTGGCTCGACGAGACGAATCTCAAGATCGTCGTGATGAACGTTCCGGAAACAGAGAGCAACGAATACACATCCCATGAACTCCGGCTAAACCGATGCCAACCCAAGCCAAGCATCCGGATCAGAACATTGGCAATGTAGACGAAGTTGAAAACAAAGAATATGATTTCTGTACCATATTAGCGGAATAACTCGCTTGAAAGCCATGGGAAGAGCAACTCACCTCGGGTTTGATCCCATACCTCCGGCTCGGGATAGTATTCCAAGACCAGCAACAACAGGTGAAGTGTGAGGATGAAAGTCACACATCTTGCCCATGGGCCATGTTTCTTAACGGCGACTCGGTAACTCCACATCTTCCATTGTCGGCTCTTATTGTCGAAGGAGCGCTTTGAAGGGGAGATTTGCCGGAGCAACTTCCTCAGTTCCAGCCATGATCGCTGTTCAGCAGTAAGATACGCTACACCAGTCTCTTCTGTGTAGTTCCGCATGAACACAGATACGAACAGCGTCAGGACGAAGACGGCACCCAGCAGGTTGAAGATGATGAAGAAGAGCCCATTCTCCGGCGCAACATAGTCCTGCGGCTGCGTATCCACACCAGTAATGCTCATAGCACTGTCCTGCACGTCGATCCACCCTTCTTGAGAGACAATTTGGAACAGAATGAAAAGGGAATCGCCAAAGTTGTCAAAGTCGTAGTAGGAATTGTCGGCCACTCGCGGAGAGAGAACATCCCAATTAAAAGGCGTGTTCTTGTACTCACCAATGCACTGATCCAGGCTTCCTGAAATGTCGCCATCATTGCATGACACCATTCGTCCGGCGAAAAGATTCACTCCATAGATAGCGAAGGGGATCAAAAAGCTCATCGAAACAGCTGCGGCCTGTCAAGCGCATCAGATTTTGCCTCTGGGGCCTCATAAGGTGCGGAACTTACAGCGATGACCTTCCATCCTCCAACAATGATCACTGAATGGAAAGTATTCTTAGCGCTATCACTAACATTCAAGAGTCTCAACGCCCTAAGCGCCTTAAATGCTCCAATCGCTCGAGTGACGCCCCAATCTTCGAACAGGGATCCACCGACGCTGATCCAGAGCGTGATCAAAACTACTCCGTCAAGAAAGCCCCAGGAGCCGCGAAAGTACGCATTAGGCGTCCAGAAAAACCCGTCCGCTATAACCTTGATGATAGCTTCTATGGTGAACAAGACCGCGAAGCCCATGTCAGTGTAGGTGAACCAATCCCTGTTCGTCGTAAAGTGATTCTTCTGGTAGATCGGTGTGGTTATGCAGGCCAGCAACACCATTGCGACAATTGCCGCGTAAATAAAGGCAGAAAATGCATACCAGACAGGCTTGTAGGGATCTACACCCTCCACTCGTTGAACTCCACGCCCCGGTCCCACGATACGCTGGCATAGCTTCCGAACGGGGTGGTTTGGCGCAAAGATGAATAGTGACTTGTTGTAATTTGGATGTCGCATGAGATACTCTCGCTGAGCCCTTTTCCTCTGCTCAGCTGCTGAAACAAATTCCTTGGCCATCGTCCTCGGGTCTAGCTCGTCGAATGTTCGCGGGATATCCAGCTTGGAATAGAAAGGGTTTGGCTCTCGACGCATAACTGAAGTGGTGAACTTCGTCCAGGTGCGCGAGAAAAATCCTGGCTGAGCTGTCTCGGCTGTGGCCGACTGCTCTAATGGAACGTTGTCGCCCGGCCGATTCTCAGGTGGTTCATCCTCATCAAGGAACTCTTGGACGACAGCATCCTTGAGCAACATCTCCAGTGCCGCTGGGCCGTGATCAAGAGGATCCTTATACCGGCTCGAGTCCTTACCGAGCTTGAAAATCTTGGAAAGAGACAAGTTTCCCTGCGAGGCCATGTTGACTTGTTTCTGCTGCAAGAACGCTTTGACTTGCTGAAGCCGTTTCTCATCCTCCGAGACATCGAAGCTTTCCTGGATGACTGCAATGAACATGTTCAAGACAATGAAGTTGGCCAGGATGAACCATATTATCAAGAAAGCCGCAGAGATCCAAGCTGTGTTGTATGACACTGTGTACGTGGTAGCGTTATACAAGATATCTGTCCAATTCTCGCTCGACAAGATTTGGTACATCCCGAGAAAAGAGTTGTAGATATCGGAAAAGGTGATGATTATGGTATCGCCATCTGCGTCTTCCTCTGGAATCTGCCCACGAAAGAGCTGAGTTGCGAAGATGGAACCAAGGAACGTAATCAAAAAGACAAAGAAGATCAAGTTCAGCAGACCAACTGCATTGCGGAAGACGACCATAATGAGATCCCTGGTCACCTTGAAGGCGAGCACAACACGATATACTCGAAGAATTTGGAAGAGTGTAAGGACATCGTACGCTCGTTCACGCTTGATTGCTGGAATCTGAATGATGCACGTTATTACGACAAGGCCCAGATCGACCCAATTCCGCGTTTTCTTGTGAAACGTGCGCCAATCCGAGGCAAATCTTAGGATGATTTCGAAAAGGAAGACGAAAGTCATAACAAGTTCTGTGGTGTCAATGAAGTGGGCCCGATCATCGCTCATCGAAGCACTCCTCATAGCCTGGACGACAAGATCAAAAATGATAATGCAAACCCAGAGCCACTCGGTCTTGTCATAGAGACGCTTGATCGCACTGACCTTCCGAGAGGCCAAATCCTCTCTCTCAGTCGTGTCTATCTTTTTAACGGCAAAGGCACTGCGCTGGCTTTCTTCTCGGATAACCTGAAAAGCGTGGGTGATCACTGCAACCAGCAAATTGACCATCCACAAACTCAATATGAGAAGCCCGCATATAAAAAAAAGAGAAGACGCAAGATAATCGCTGTCAGCAGTATAGTAGAGTAGGTCGGTGAACGTGTTCGAGCTCATGATTACAAACACAAGCTCCAGCGAATTGACGATATTGTCAAAACTCAATGTCCCGTTGTAGGGGTTGTCTCCTTCAAGACAAATGGAGCCTGCAGGACAGATGTAGCCTTTGGGAGAAGATGAACCGAAAGTATTATCCTTCTGAAGCCAAGGCATTTGTAGTCCAGTGGTCGAATTGACGTAGCCTCCACAAAACTGTAAGGAGCCGTTTGGATCATTCTGTGCGTAATCTTTTTCACCGTCAACGCCAAGCCAGACACAGGTTCTCCGAAAGCTTGATTTAAAGCTTTGGATGCCGACGATAGCAAACAGAAGCCAGAAGAAGCCGATAAGGAACGCTACGTGCGCAAGCAATGGTGCCGCTTTTTTGAGACTGCGCAGGATAACCTTGTCTCGAATGTCAGTAAACGACGTGGCTAAGTGTATTCAACAGAGAACTTACAGAAGTACCATTGGTCAGATTCAGGAGACGAAGAATTCGAAGACAGCTCAGCATGCTGAACACATAGAGCTGCTGGCGAGTCTCGACTCCATAGATCGAGAGGAAGAACGACACCCAGTACGATACTAAGGCGACGAAATCAAGCCGATTGAACGAGTGCCGCAGGAAGGCACGGTGGGCCAGTCGTACGCGACTCTTCTGGAGGGGGTCATCGGCCAATTGATTCTCCAATTGATTCAATCCGCCCGTAAAAGTGCGTATAATGGAAGCCTGGGGCTGTTCTGACATGGCAGACTTCCGCACTGAGAATTGCCGCTGTGGTATGATCAAGTTCTTCCCTTTCTCAACAACTGCTTTCCTGAACCCCATCGACCGGTCTAGAGTGCTGTATTCGGCAGGGTTGATGATCAATCCTGACACGAGGATTTTAGCGATAATCTCGAGCGTATAGATAATGAAGATGGCGAAGTAAGGATAATCCATGGGATTTGCTCCCCAACGGACAGCCCGAGGATAACTCCAGACAGAGCGTGCAGATTCAATGGTCAGCAAAATTGTTTGGACCACAATCACAATCAAAATAAAGGGTTCCGTGAACGGATGGACGAGTATATCACACAACCACATCCGCAGGGCATTATCTGGGCCTAGAATACCCAGCGATTTCCCTCTCAGAGGGTTGCTAATGCCGCGCCATGCCTTATTGTTCGATGGCAATTTCTCTCCAGGAGCTGAACTGTTCAATGAACTGGTAGACGGCGCATCATGCGCATAGTCTGGCAAAGATGGCAGTGCCGGGGGCTCTTCCATTCGCGCATTCTTATGCGATTCCTCCCTGAGGATCGATTGTTCCACCACTTCAGGTTCGTTACTAAGGTTGACAATACGCTGGGACATCGACTTCATCATGGAACTGGCCCGCATCAAGGCAGATCCGGAAGCCGAGGGAGACAGCGATCGCGACCTGTCCGCTGCATTGCTTCCTCCGCGGGATCTCCCCACGAAACCACCCTCTAGATTGTGTAGATCGTCACCCAATCGTGCCCCCGAATGGCTGGTAGCAGGAAACTGAACCGATTTTGTACCGCCCTGATCATTCTGATGTCCATTGTCTGAGCCGGATGCTCCGCTTATGGGCTGGACGTTTTGTGTCTCCGTCAATCGTGCGGTGTCGTTGTAGGTGTCGATGTGGGCGAGATAGTGTTCGGCTCCGTCGAGCGGCACGGTATCTAGGTCAACACTGGAGGGTGCTCGACTATGCGTCGGGGCAAGAGAGGTACTGGACGAGGGGTCAAAACTGAGACCGAATGAAGTCGCTTGAGCAAATGCCCCCGGATCTTCGATTGCGTCTTCATCTTCTTCATGGGAAATGTGAGGGTGCGGGCGCGCATTGCCCGCCGCATTGGCCGTTTCAACGGGCGAATCCACCGCTATGCGCTCATAGTTTCTCCCTGTCCGGCCCCTACCGGTCAAAGATCGGCCCAGCCTTGTCGCAACACCAGCTGGACCTCCACGTTCATGGTCTGGCGATGAGAGATCCTGCAAGGGGATTGAGTGATCGATGTGGAAATTATCGTCGTCGGGGCCGCGGTCATGGCTACTTGAAGCCATGGTGGGCAGTCGTCAGAGTGCTAACCGAAGGCAGACATCGCAGGCTGTTCAGGAAGAAAAGAAAGAATGTCAGAAGGGCCCTGGGGAGCGTTGACGACCGAGGCCAAGTAAAAGCGCGCTGGGGAAAATATGGGACAGACTCCCTAAGTAAGTTAAAGTAGTACGAAAGGGCTGACGAACTTTGGTTAAGTTAGCGGTGGCACCCCGTGCGGAAACGTGGGCGAGGATCCAATCAAGCCAGGCAGCCGTCAAGAAGCAGCGGGCATGATGGGGACAGGAACCCAAACGTGTCGACTTCCAGATCACAGTGATGGTTATTATTGCTCGGTATGCGCAGCGGAGCTCTGGCTGGACGGCGCCAAAGCGGCCAAAACTGGGGCGGATTCGGCAGCGGCGGCCTCCGTATGGCCCATTGGCCAGGTTCTCTGGCCCAGTGATTGCTAAACGTCCGAGCCTTATGAATGGTCCGGGTCGAGTTCGTTCGACACACGGCCAATTATTGAGGGTGGATATGGATGGGCTCTGGCTTGGAACGGGGCTTGACTTGGGATTTTCCCCCCTGCTGCGCCCGGGAGGGGAATTATGCGCCTCCCTCCCCCCATGATGCATCTAAGTAATATTCTAAGTACGGATGACTGACATTGACTTGACTTGCTTTGTTCGGTCCCTGACAGGATCAGGATGGATCATTTGTGTCCACTCCCGATACGGCAATTCCATTGATATCTGTCCCACCTCTTTTGCCTCGGTGGAGGAAGAGATCATCAAGTCGGAAACTTTTCTGCCCTACGTACTTTTCTTTTTCTTTTTTTTTATTTCTTGATTCAGTTTGAAATTAACGGGCGGAGTCCGCCAATACGCCACACCAGACACATTATTATTAACGGTATTTATATTACCAGTATTATCATGCTGCCTACTGACCAGTGCCCTTCTTACCCCACCCACCTCATGCCAAAAATAACCCATGACAAGTCCCTCTCTGCTTAGGAGGGGATGAGACATCCATGCAAGGCCGCTAATGGATTCCTAAAACATCAGTGGATAGTTACAGAATGGCTGGCTGAAGATAATAATAGTAAAAAAGATAAGAGAAATAAAAAGAACCCTGTCAACATAACATAATCACTGCTATTTCGAACCCAATCAATCGGTGTCCATACGGTTTCCTTCTGCCGAATCCTTAACATGATCCCGAACGCCTTGGAGGAATGCCTCAACAGCATCACCACCACCCAATGGAACCCCTCCTCTACGCATAAATCCTCCATTTGCAACCGGAATTTTTAGAGCCTCGCTGATGCTCGGTAATCCACCATCTCTGATCGCCATCGTCAAGCTTGCTAGACTCTGCGCAAATTGAGGGGAGTGTAGAACTTTGCGCAGAATCTCCTTCTTTTGCGTCAGTTCGAGCGATCCCAGGGCGGCTTGAGCGATGTCCGGGTCCTGATCAGCTGCCGCGGCTTCCTCGAGATCATTGTCCTGCGCCAGGAGAAGCAGCGACGGCGGCAGGAAGCTCAGGAGATTGTCAACCGTTTGTTCGTCCGCAGATTCCAAGAAGGGCAATGTAGTCGAGGTAGTAAGTAGATCTTGCAGAGTAGTGAAAGGTCTCTCGGGGTCTTGGGATTGCCGCGAGCCCCCATGTAGCGATTGCAGGAAGCTCTGCACGACAGATGAAGGATCCGAGTCAGTGGCGGCCCTGTGAGCCAAAATGCTAGTTAGCTTGGATTCATGAAAGGGAAGGCCTATAATCGTGACCAGAATATCCGAGCATATTGAATATCTCGGCTAGTAAAGTTCAAGACTAGAGACAAATAAAACTGTCGAGATATGTACCTACGCTCTTCCACCATCGGCACCACCCTCCCTCGATCCTTGACCTTCCGCCCGAACATCACCGCCAGTCGCATCCGGACCAGCTCCTCCACTGTTCCCTCCATGATTGTGGTTCGGGTCATGGTCCACGCCTTCGACATCTTCCATAGTCTCGTCGTCATCGCCGCCCGAGGGACCGCCTCGGGGAAGGTTGGCGATCTCATGTTCTACATCCACATCTTCACCCTGGAGCAGCCCGTTGACAATCTCTCCTAGCTTAAGATCCCTTTGGCTGAACCAGCTCGGGTTTCCGTCCTCATGCTGAGACTTGGATTGTAGCCAGAAGAGGTACCGTTGGGAGCTGGAGGAGAACTTCAAGACGTAGATACGACCGTTGGTAGGTGCTGTAGAGTCGACAGGCTTGTAAGGTACAAAGCATCCATCCGAGGGAACCATTACCAGGTCGAGCTCAGGTTCCGTGTGGGGAGCAGATCTGGGGCGCCAGCAAAAGTGTACCAGCTCATCTTCGGAGTAGAGATAGATGTAACCGGGGGTGGGCTTGGGCTTGACGACGGAGGTTTCACCGGACGTCTATCAAAGAGCAGATGGAGTGAGCAACATGTTGATAGAAATGCAATGAGGCAGTGGCGGGTGGGGGAAAGCTTCATATTTAACTAACCTCGAGGTCACAGATACCCGCTTTGAAGGTAATGATCGGAGCTATAGACATGGTGTAATATGGTGTAGGCTAAGGGAAGGTAGCAAAAAAAGACTGTTGAAAATATACACAGATTCTCTAAGCTAGAGCTTTGATGATAAGCGCACACCAACGATGCGGCAAAGAAAATGTAGGTTGTGGATTGACGGAAGAAGCTGCTGAAGCAGTAATGTACGTCAGTTCGTCACCCGCAAACAAGTCGGCAGGTAACGTGATGAACATTGGAGGGAGCTTGGGTTTCTGCGGAATTGGTATCTACGGATGACCGGAAAGGCGGACGGCAAAAAAGACACGTGTTCTGCCTGAGGCCACAAACGCAGCGGTTATCGGGCTATCGCTATCAAAGGGGCGCCGAATCGGCACTAGCGCCTTTCGGCTAGGGCTCGCGTCCACACAAACTCACACTTTCCCGTCCTGGGGCGCAAGTAGCAAGTCACACATCAACTCCAACAACCACCCGCCGTCGACAACCACCACCCTCCCCCTACATTCTTTTCAGACCACCTTCGTCCCCAGCAGCCAATATGTCGGACTCTACTGTTGGCCAGACGAAGCAGTTTGGAAAGGGCCAGAGGACCGTCCCTCACCCGGCCCAGAAGGCCCAGAAATGGTACCCCGTTGATGACGAGTCGCAGCCCAAGAAAGTCAGTACCACACCCTGTGCAAGAGCCAGAAAATCAGTTGGAAAAAGATGCGGTTTCGTTATGAACAAATGCGACGGGTTTGCGCTGGTCATTGGGAAAGATTGAACTTCCTTTGTGAAAAAGCGGAAGATTTGGAGGACATGTCAAAGGATTCAGGGCCAGTGTTCTATACCGCATGAGTTGATAAGGAAATCGCATCTTGGAGAAATCGGGGCCCCGGAATTCGAAATGGGCAAGAAGGAATTGGAACAGGCATTCTGACAAGGTTATTTTATATACATATAGGTCCGCAAGGCTATCCGTCCCGCTAAGGTCCGCGAGAGCCTCCAGCCCGGTACCGTTCTGATCCTCCTCGCCGGCCGCTTCCGTGGAAAGCGTGTCGTTCTCCTCAAGCACCTCGAGCAGGGTGTTCTCCTCGTCACCGGTCCCTTCAAGATCAACGGTGTCCCCCTCCGCCGTGTCAACGCTCGTTACGTGATCGCCACCAGCACCCGTATCGACATCAGCGGTGTTGACGCCCAGACCCTCGAGAAGGTCTCCGCTGCCGACTACTTCACCAAGGAGAAGAAGGCCGAGAAGAAGACCGAGGAGGCTTTCTTCAAGCAGGGAGAGAAGCCCCAGGTATGTGCACATACACACCCGTGGTTTGGCTCTTCCTCCGAGAGGAGTCCAACCTATACGGAAGTGGCCGGATGAATACTGATATAGCGATTTTTCTCAATCAACAGAAGAAGGTTGTTGCCAGCGCTCGCGCTAGCGACCAGAAGGCCGTTGACCAGTCCATCCTCGCCTCCGTCAAGAAGGAGGCTTTCCTCGGAAGCTACCTGGCCAGCACCTTCAGCCTCCGCAACGGCGACAAGCCCCACGAGATGAAGTGGTAGATGTGTGACGCGGCGGCCGCGGGTTCGGTAGTTATTGTGGAGGAGTCCTGCGAGGGGCGGCGGCTAGAAACCCCCTTTTCAATCTTTTGCAAGCAACTGGTCGAACTCCACAACCGGCACTTGCAAAAGGAAAAGGGGGGTCGCAGGAGGAAACAGCTCATGAAGTATATGTAACTCGATTCGAGCCTCATGTTTGCTTAGGATTGCGGTTTTTTTTAATGCCGAGGTTAAAAAAGGAAAGGAAAAACCGGTTGTTATTTCATACTTGATCTCCCCCCCAAAAACTGAACTGTCTTCCTCCAGCAATTCTGGCCGTTTGCACAACCCCCCCTTCTTGCAGTCGATAACTTTGAGCCGAAATGAAAAGAAAAAAAGAAGAATACCATTTCCAGCTGTTCAATTTTATGTTACTACACTCTGTTCACTACGACTATTCCAATTTCTTTCAATATCAGGTTCGGGCGGAAAAATATCAAAAGAATTGGGCATTTTATTATATCGACGATCCACTACTATTTCTTCCGGGGTAGATCAAGTTGTAGTAGATCATTCATATCTATGATGCATGACGGTATGATAGTACTAGGTAGTATACTTTGTGTGTGTATCGACTACTGCTACTACTTACTATCTATTGGCAACTGGACATTGCCGGGATTCCGAATGCAACCCCAGCCCCAGCCCCACATGCACATTTCACATTCACACTGATAACGATAACATTCATAAAAAATACTACTATGATAGACAGCGACTCTTCTATGAAACACCAGACCAATCCCAACCAAGTCGAACCAAACTCCCTGCCAGACAATATAACCCATATTGCGCACATACATCAGAAATAGCATCACATCATAAATTACATGATCCATAAGCACATAACAACGAACCAACCAACCCAACATACCAAATGTATACACAACAACGAAATATATATCT